GATGCCCTCCTCAAGCCGCACTCCTCAATTATCCTTCCCGTCCTCTTCTACAGTCTACTCTTCTGGTTTTCTCAACCTCTTCACTTCCTCGTTCCTGCCCCCGCCGTCCTTCCTGTCTCGCCGTCCCCTCCAGTCACCTCCTGATCGTTCTCAGTTTTTGTTGGTTGGTAGAGCATTTGCGAGCGTGCGAACCCCTTGGGCTTATCCAGGGGTCGCGTCCGTCTTCTATAGCATGACCTCAACGGTGTATTTCATGCTGATGCCCATCGAAACTTCCTTGAGCAAGGGGATCGTTTGGTCAGAACTCATGTCCCATCTCGAGACGAGCGACGGCCAGAAATTCCTCGAGACTAAATGCTCACTGTGCCGCGTGGAAAAGAGGTCCGTCATATATGTGCCCAAGGGTTTTGCTCCAGTGGTTCTGTACGCCCACACTTCCGAGCAGCCAGCCCCTCCACCAATGAAAAGGCCTCGCAAATCGACGACCCCAGCGACGCAGCCTGACGCTGCAGACATCGCCATCTTGTGTGGGGGCCCGATCTATGAGACCCAGGATCCCAAACACGCCATCCACGCACAGGTGACTGCTGCAGTTTTCCAGTTTAACGATGCTGTCTTCCAGCAGAAGAAGGGCACGCCGCGCTGGGACAAGCGCGCCGAGCTCTTCTCAAAATACTTTAAGCCTGAAGCCTAAGTTGAGCCAGCATTTCAGGTCAGCTTCGCACGACTGTGCACTAGGTTACGGAGGGAGTATGGTGGGAGGGAAGAACAACAGAAAGCAAACACGTCGTTCGTTCCTGTGCACTATCCATATGCTCCATATTGAATGCCGCGCCTGTGGCCCGAGAGGCAGCTCGAAGGCCTGGACTGACACGGGCGACAGGTTCCGATGAGAATCATCGGCTTGGCGAGCGCAGCTCAGAAAAACAACATTCACAAACGAATGCCGCTTCTCGACCAAGCATCTGTCATGTTATGTCCTTCTCTCTTATGCTATAGCTGCGTGGCTGTGAGGGTAATCTTGAGAAACATGCGCACATCCTCACGCCCCTCGAGGCGACCTCGCCGTTCCCTTGTTCTTCGCAGACGCGCGTGGGTGACCGCGCGCTTAGCGGGGGACGCGGGAGCAGGCGATGCCACCTTGGAGGGTGATGGGGAGTTGCTTTACTCTGGTCGGATCCCTCACCGCCGACGCCGTGAGAGAGGGTGAGTTCGCGGGCCCCACCGCCCCGTTTGTTTTGCAACTGCGTTGTTGTAACTCCTGGGTTTAAGCGTGTTTCGGGCCCCCCACCATATCCACCAAGCTTCCGCCGCATTCCGCCGAACAGGGGCCTTTCTTGTTATACTATGGTGCAACCTTGTGCGCACGCGCACAACGAGCCCACATGGGGGAACATGGGCATCTAGCTTGCAGGGGATCTATGCCGCCCCATTTACATAACCTCCATCGGGTCCAGTGAACTGTTGTGGCCACGACGTCCGCGCGCGAGGTTATGTAAATGGGGCGGCATAGATCCCCTGCAAGCTAGATGCCCATGTTCCCCCATATGGGCTCGTTGTGCGCGTGCGCACAAGGTTGCACCAATAGCTACACTACACCTGCACGCGTGTTGCACTGGCGTGCTTGGCAGGGCGTATACACATACGCTTGCACATATAATCATACGGAGCTGATCAGGAACCGCTGATCATGCGATGTGAAGTTTCCCAAGGGACTCCAGGGTTGACGTGAGAGTTCTCTGACAGGTGGCGACCTGCCCCTGCAGTTGCCTCCAGGCCCCCTGGACTTACACCCTGCAAACATTCGGGGTGGCGGAGAGTGAGGCCTTACCATTCATGCATGAATATATTCATACACTAGTCATGTATCAAAAATCCTACATGTTTAAGAATCCGATGTATTAAGAATTGTCCTGTACCTCCCGTCAGGCTGTCGCCCCCCCGCCGTCAGGGGAGGCTCGTCGGGGCCGCATCCCCCCCCTATTTTTGTCCACCCCCCAGCATACCTCAGGAGGAGAAAAAGCACACAGACGCAATTAATCGTCGATTCCCCAGAAAATATGCGAAAACATGGGAAGTGGGGTGGCAGACAAAAACCCAGAAAGTATTGGAAAATATGGGGGACCTTCTTATTTGTATGTATTTATTTGTGTGTCCTTGAGGGGCCCTCCCCCTCCCCATTTTTGTCCACCCCCCAGCATACCTCCCGTCAGACTGTCGCCCCCCCGCCGATCATCGGGCCGGACGAAAGGGGGGGATTGGGAAAGGGGGGGTTACGAAATCTGCTGCATGCAGCTGGTTTCGGCCCCACCGAGGGGCCCATTCCTCACTGCATAGCCGCCTACGGCGCCGGGAGGCGCCGGGAAAATCAGCTACGTGAGCTGGTTCTCAAACCCCCCCTTTGCTATCCCCCCCTTTCGCCAGACCCGAGATCCGGGGGAGGCTCGTCGGGCTCCCCCAGATCGGACAGGCATAGAACTACACTTCGGGCGAGTGGATTAGCTTCTTGCGCGGATCCCGAAATTCCTAACTTACTTTTGCGACATCGTCTTACGTATTGGTTCGCCCGCCATTCGAGGGGCCGATCGCGCCTGTTGGATTTGCCGGGGCTTCGGCGTGTCTTGCCATTGTCAGTCTGGAACCAAGGCTTGCGCCTCACGAGTGGATTGGAGGATGAGCGCAAGGTGAGTCTTTCAGCTGCGGGGGGGCGCGGGCGTTCGCCGCCACGCAGGGGCCAGGGGCAACTAGGAAACGCTCAGGGAAATGGAGGGCGGCAGGTCGAGGAAAAACGGGGGAGGGGGAGGGCAAAGCAGCGGGCGGGAATGGTGAACATAGTGACCAGGCGAGATACTCTGATTGGGGGAGCGATGTGGGCGGAGGCCGCAATTGGAATTTTTTCTGATAGCCCCGGGACGTTCAGACACGTCCCGCCCGGAGGCCGGCAGAGGGGTTCAGCGGCCCTTGCCTTCCTGACTCTGCGGGCGGGGCGCGACGACGTACCCGACGTGTGCCCCGCCCCTTTCGCTAGGTGCCGGTCTGTGCGTGCTCGCCCCGCGCGAGACATCCAGCGCGTTCAGAACTACACTTAGCCGCTTAGCCGGGCACTAGGTGTAGTTTTGTACGCGCTGGTTTCGCCGGAGACATCCCCACAAAACGGAGCACTTATATAACTACACCTAGCCAGCGGGGCGGGGTGCATGTCGGGTGCCGCCACTCGCGCCCCCGACGTGTACCGCGCCCCGGCCGCTAAGTGCCGTTTTGTACGTGTCCCCTTTTCGCGAAGCATCGGCTGCCCGCGCCCCGCCCCCTAGGTCGCTCCCCACCGACATCCCACATCCTTTGGCTCAGCGAAGCCAGCCGTATGCCTGGGGGCCTCGACGTCGCGCAGCCCGCTTCCCTCCCCCGCCTGTGCCCCAGCAGCAAATTCGCGATCCGATCCCCCGCGTTTTCAAATTCTTCTTCGTGCCGGATTCCCCGTCCGAGCGTGAGCGCTTTTTCGTGTTATGATTTTTCTTGCGGCTGCCGCCAAGCCTCGCCGTGCAACGTGGTGATCGCTGCCACGCTTGGCACGCAACGTCGTCGGCACGACCATCGCCTTCCATCGTGGGTCATGGGGCGACGTCCGTCCACCCAGACCGACCGACGCGCCAAATCGAATTATGATTGCCGCCCCTGGCCCCCGCAACAAGGTGCAGTTTTGCTGTGTGTAGTTGTAGATGTGTTCGACCAGAAGCCCCCCGGCCGAGGACCGCCCCGGCGGCCCGCCGAGCGGCTGCGGGGCGCCCGTGCTGGGCCGCCGGCCTCATCCCTGCCCTCGTGGCCCGCACGGTTCTGTTTCTCGTCGTCCCTCTCGTCGTCGCCTGGCCTCCTCGTCGTCCACGTCCCCTTCGGCGTCGTCGTCCCTCTCGTCGTCCTCACCCTGGCCCCTCGTGGCCCGCATGGCCTCATCCTCCCCCTCGTCGCCGTCCGGCCTGCATGCTGCTGTTTCGCCCGATGCGGCGTGGTAGAATGGGTTCGGGAGCGCTCGCGGGCTCAGCGCGAGGCTGGGGCCGAGGCGCTTTTGCCCTTTGCCGCTGGAGCGTGGCTCGCCTTCCCTTGTGACGATGCGGCGGCAGGCGGACTCCCCGCCCAGTTTCCATTCCATTGCATTCCATTCCATTCCTCGTCGTGGTCTGCCTCGCCGCCGCTGTACTCGTCGTCCTCGTCGTCTGGGGGACGGCTCGGAGGTTGTGGACCTGGGCGGCGCCCGGCATAGTGCAGGTCCAGGGGCAAGTTTTGTCAGCTTGAGGATGGGAAGATCAGGAGGAGGAGGGTTGGGAGGCGCAGGAGGATTTGGAGGCGGAGGAGGAGGAGGAGGGGGAGGAGGAGGAGGAGGAGGTGGAGGAGGATTGGGAGGAGGAAGGCGACGAGAGGGAGGAGGGTGACGTTGGAAGAGCTGGATCGCCTTCCCTGCCCTCCACACGGGGTCGCCAGCTGCCGGCCACACGCCGCTCCCCCTCGGCGACTGGGAGGAGGAGGAGGAGGAGGAGGAGGAGGAGGAGGAGGAGGAGGAGGAGGAGGAGGAGGAGGATGTGAAAGGCCTTACTCAGAGGGGGAAGCAGAGAGGAAGTTGCTCAGCAGGGCCAGGAGGTCTTGGGCTCGTGAGAAGTTGTCAGAGTGTTCTCCGAAGCCACACACGGCTTCTCGACGAATGGCCAAATTTATTCTGGCCAGCGGCGCTGCTCTCGGAGAAGGCCTGCCCCATCTCATTCCCCCCCTCGGCGCGCCGCCGACTCCACGCCGTGGCCTCACCTATCCGCACAGGCGGGCACCCTGGCGAACACACAGACACAATTAATCGTCGATTTCCAGGAAAATGTGGGAAATTATGGGATGTGGGGGGACGACAAAAACCCAGAAAATATGGGAACATATGGGGAATCCTGTTACTCGTGTGTATTTATTTGCGTGTCCCAGGGCCCCTTCAATCTTTCCGTTTGCACCCCCCCCCCCGCGCGGAGGCGCAGCGGGAGCACGAGGAGGCCGAGCGGGAGGCGGCCGCGCGGGGGCCGCAGCAGCTGTCCGTGAGCGACGTGCTGATATCGGTGGTCTTCGACGGCGCCGAGGACGGCAGCGCAGACCCTCTCCCCCCCCGGGGATGTCAACCACATTCAGGAGGGATTTCAACCACATTCAGGAGGGATTTCAACCAGGGCTCGACCTAAACGGTGTTTTGGCGATTTCGTGGGCCGTTTTCGTTTCGATTTCGTGTTGCGTCAAAGGCGGATGAAAGACAAAACGAGGGAAAACGAAAACGACACGAAAACGAAACACACCGTTTAGGTTCAGCCCTGATTTCAACCACAGGTCTGCCGAAATGCTTCTCAGTCGGAACGGCGCTCGCGCTGTGGCACTGACCACGGCCCCGAAGCTCCAGGATGCATTCGCTCAGCGGGCGGTCCATGCACCCGGAGGAGCGCAGAGCCGACTGCTGACCATCGCGGGGGAGAGTCTGCACATTGGACATTGGACAGCAGGGCCGCCCTCCTCATGGCCGCACGCCCTGCACGACAGGAAGACGCGGAGGGCGGCTGGGAGGCTCGAGTGAGGCTCGAGGGAGGCCTCGGAGGCCCCCCCGAGGGAAGAAGCACGATGACCATGAGTAAGATGTCGCGGGCTCTTGTCGAAGCCGATGTTGGTCATGGTCCGTGGCGGGCGTCGCCGATTCGCGAGGATGACTCACGAGCTGATGATGGCCAATCTGCGCGATGACCAAGATCGGCACCGACGTGTCCCCGTTCAGTCTTAGTCATGGTCATCGTTCTGTTGCCCCACATCCCCGTGCTCAGTGGTGAGGGAGATACCGATGCCCGAAGAAGAGGGGTCCGCTCGGATGTCTTGGGTCTGCGCTGAGCCCTCCTCCCCTGGCGCGCGGGACGCGCCAGCGTGAATGGGACGGCACAGGCTCAGGGTCAACGTTAGGGGGGGATCGGCTCCTGGGGGCACGCATCGACCCTCCATCGCCCAATCGTCGCCGAGGGGGGCCTGGTGGTCCAACCCGCCCAGGAGCCCTTATGTCGGCGGCAAGCTCGGGGGGGAAGTGAGAAGGTCAGAGCGTGAATTACCTACCCCGCTTTCGCTTCCAGGCAAAACCAAGTCATACCACGCGCCTCCTCGTCGAGCGGCCTGACCAGTACATGCCGTAGTTTGGCATCGCTTGGTATCTTTTGGCAGCGAGGGTGGTCAAAAGCGAGGTAGGTCTGTTTGCCCCCTAGAAGGGGCGCGCCCTCTCAGAAGGCTCGGAAGTGCCCCAGCCTTCAGAAGCTTCCGAAGCCTTCCCCGAGGACACAAAAGAACTTCTCAGAAGGCCTGCGGCCCTCTGAGGGGCCCCGCCGCCTTCTGAGAAGGCCTTCTCGTCCTCACTTCCCCCCCTCGCTCGCCGCCGAGTTTATATTGTGGGGTGTCTCTGTGAGGGATGCTTCGCTGATGCCGGGTCGATGTTTCCCCCTGTGGGCCTGGCCTGCGGTGGTCCAACTTGGCGGCGCCGCGCCGCTCCGGGCGCTCGCAGCACGGGTCCAAGAAACTCGTCTGCGCAGCTTCAAAAGTTTACGGCTACTCCAGATGTCGTAATAAAAGGGAGGGGGTCACAACCCTCCCAGACAAGAAGTTTTAGACCCCCAGACTATCCATGAAAGGGCGGCCCTTTGCCCAGCCCCCCCCGAACCCTCCAAGACAGCTCAAATTAGACCCCCCCCCCGAATGTGACCCCCCCACTTTGTTATGGAATCCGGAGTACGCAGTTGTCTCGGCATCGCTCGGGCACGCGCGTTGTGTCTCGGCGGCGAACATCTTGGACCATCTTGCGAACAAGACAAAGCACGCACGATACCGAGGGATGCACATGGGAATAGACATCCGAGCGATGACGAGCTCCTACTTCTGGATCTCGTCACCTCTCTAGTCTTTGCTTCTTCGGGGCTCCTGGAGACCCCTCGTCACCCAGGAGGGGCCCAGGGAATGGCGGTGTGGATGTTACGTGATCGAAGACACCTACGGCGAATCACGGCCGCCCCCCGCCTTTTGGAACCGCCCATGTGGCCGAGCGTTGTGGCAAGAGCTCTGCCAAGCTATCGGACCATGTGTTCCCCCAGCTGTTGTGGAACCCCCTCGGGGAACACTTGGGGGAGGATGGCGGGAAAGATCAGGAGGAGGAGGAGGGGGAGGAGGAGGAGGAGGAGGAGGAGGAGGAGGAGGAGGAGGGGGCATTTGGGGAGCTTCTGGGCGCACTCTTGGGGCCCCCCCCCCGGCCGTTGTAGAAACCCTTCAGGGAACACGTGGGGGAGGATGGGAAGATAAGGAGGAGGAGGAGGAGGAGAAGGAGGAGGAGGAGGAGGAGGAGGAGGAGGAAGGAGGGGGCATCTTGGGAGCCTCTGGGGGCACTCTTGAGGCCTCCTGGAGGCTTCCTGGGAGCCTCTTTGGAGGCATCCTTGCGCCCCCTTGGGCCTCTTTGGAGCCTTTCGGGTCTTCTCGGGGGCCTCTTTGGCCGTCCTAATTAGGGCATTCCTGGCCCGGCAGAAGCCGTCGGAGGCCGCCTTGGGGGCCTCCCTTGAACGACTTGGCCCTCTCGGGGTGCTCCAGGGCAGTCTTTGAGGCCATCTTAGGCGTCTTGGAGGCCTCTGGGGCAGTCTCGAGGCCCTCTCGAGGCATTCTTGGGGGCCTCTTGGGCCGTGCTGGTGCCATCTTGGAACCCTTTTGGGCGATCTCGGGGTGATCTTTGGAGCCTCTTGGACCGTCTCGGGCCGTCGGATGGACGAACAGAAGCAAATGCCAGAATCCTTCAGAGACCCACTGAACATGAATGAGATTTGCCTCTTCGGGCCTTCTTGGGAGCTCACTTGGAGGCCTCTTGGGCCGTTTTGGAGACCTCTTGTTGGCCTCTTGGAAAATCTTACAGCCATCTAGGGCCGTCGTGATGGCCTCCTGGCCCGTCTGACGCCGTCGGAAGCGGTGCTGGGGGCCTGTCTGGGCCGTGCTGGGGCCATCGTGGAGGCCTCTTGGGAAATCTTGGGGCGGTCTTCGGGGGCTCATGGGCCGTCTCGGGCCGTCGGAAGGCCGAAGAGAAGCAAACGACACATTCTTCAAATACTTACCAATGTGAGCTCTATAAGTTTGACATGTTCGGGCCTTCCTGGAGGCCCTCTTAGGGGGGCCTCTTCGGCCGCCTGGGAGACCTCTCGGGGACCTCTTGGACCGTCTGGGGCCATCTTGGAACCGTCTTGGGCCGTCTTTGGAGGCTTCGTGGGCGGACTTGGACGTGTTTTGGGCCCTCTTGGGCCGTCTTGGATGCCATCTTAGTCCATCTTGGGCAAACTTGGAGACCATCTTGGCCGTCTTGGAGGCTTCTCGGGCCGTCAGGAGGGGGCCATATTGGGGCGATCTCGGGGGCCTCTTGGCCCGTCCTGGGCTGTCGGAAGGCCGACAAGAAGCAAATGCCAAATTCCTTCAACAACATCAGGAAAGTTAATGATAGTGGCCTCTTCGGGCCTTCTTGGAGGCCCTCTTGGAGGCCTCTTGGGCCGTCTTGGAGACCTCTTGGGGGCTTTCTGGGCAGTCTTGGGCCATCTTCGAGCTATCTTGGGCCGTCGTGATGGCCTCATCCTGGCCTTACTGACGCCGGCGGAAGCTGTCTTGGGGGGCCTCCCTTGGCCGACTTGGGGCCCTCTTGGGTTGCTCCAGGGCCGCCTTTGATGCCATCTTGGGCGCATTGGAGGCCTCTGGGGCCGACCCGGGGCCCTCTCGGGGCCGTTCTGGGAGCCTTTTGGGCCGTGCTGGAGCCATCTTGGAGGTATCTTGGGCGATTTTTGGGGGCTCCTGGGCCGTCTCGGGTCGTCGGAAGGCAGAACAGAAGCGAATGCCAACATCCTTCTAACACCCACTGGCCATGAATGATATTGGGCACTTCGCGCCTTTCTGGAAGCCCATTTGGATGCCTTTTGGGCCGTTTTGGAGATTTCTTGGTGGCCCTCTGGGCAATCTTGGAGTTATTTAGGGCAGTCTTGATGGCCTCCTGGCCCGACTGGCGCCGTCGAAGGCGGTCTTTGGGGCCTGGAATAGGGATAGTCGCCGTAATAGTCTTAGCAGTGGCAATCATCGCAGCACCAGCAGTAGTGTTACGATTAGTGTAGTAGTAGTAGTAGTAGTAGTAGTAGTAGTAGTAGTAGTAGTAGTAGTAGTAGTAGTAGTAGTAGTAGTAGTAGTAGTAGTAGTAGTAGTTAGTAGTAGTAGTAGTAGTAGTAGTAGTAGTAGTAGTAGTAGTAGTAGTAGTAGTAGTAGTAGTAGTAGTAGTAGTAGTAGTAGTAGTAGTAGTAGTAGTAGTAGTAGTAGTAGTAGTAGTACTAGTAGTAGGAGCAGGAGCAGAAGCAGCAGCAGCAGCAGCAGCAGCAGCAGCAGCAGCAGCAGTAGTAGTAGTAGTAGTAGTAGTAGTAGTAGTAGTCGTCGTCGCGCCTTTCGGGGTTGTACATCCACCAGCCTCACGTCTGTGGCCCAGGGGTGGCTCGGAATCCGCTATCCTGCTTATCCTTCTTATCCTCCTCCTCATCCTCCTCTTCCTCCGCGCTATGTCGGGTTATGGCGAAAATGCCCGGCCAGGGGTCTGATTTTGAAGTCCAATTGCGCCCAGCCGTGGCGACGAGAAAAGGGCAGGGGCAGGGGGGCAGGCGGGTGCATGGCAAAGGGTTCGAAGGGGGTCTGGGGCCAAGGTCAAATTGAACGCGTGACGTTCAATGCGCATCGTATGCGTGATTATCGGCATATCTGTCCCGCGCCAACGTGCCCACCGCAGCTGCTGCAGCAACGCACGTGTGCACCAAAAGGCCTGTGTACAACATAGTGCCATATAATGCCTGTGATCCATTAGGATTCCGGAGGACCCCTCATAATTCCTCAAGGTCCCTGGGGCCCCTCAGTGTTCCACGGTTTCCTCAGATTTCCAGAGGATTCCAGCATTCCTCAAATCCCTTGCAAATTCCTCAGCAATCCTCAGGATTCCTCAGAAGAGCTCAGGATCCCACAGGATTCCTTTTGAATGCGCAAAAACTGACAGAATTCCTCAGGAGCGCTCCTCGCTCAGGATTCCTCAGGAGCAATGGAAACCGTCCAGATTCTCCAGGGTTCCTCAGAACCCCTGGTCCCTGAGGATCCCTTAGGGCCCCTGAGGATTGTTTGCGGATCCCTCAGGATCCATCAGGAGCCCTGGGGATCCCTGAAGATCCCTCGGGACGCCTCAGGACTCCTCAAGACCCCTCGGATCCCTCAAGAACCCACAGGCTCCCTCACCATCCCGCAGGCTCCCCCAAGATCCCTCGAGATCCCTTTGGATCCTTCCAGATCCCTCAGGACCCCTCAAGGTCCCTTCAGGGATCATGAGGATCCCTGAAGATCCTTGAGGATCCCTGAGGATCCCTGAAGGATCGTCAGGATTCCTCAGGGTTTCGCCCCATTTCCGGGCCAGACCCCCTCGCCGCGCGGATCCGCGCCACCGAGATGGGCCCACATTGCGGTCAGATTGATGTGCTTTTTTGAGACGTGTTTCCTCCATCTTGGCTTCCAGGGCCCGATTACGGGTCCCAGGGCAACGACAAATGCATCCGAGACGAGAAGCTACCCTCGCGGGAAGCGGTCGGGACGTCTCTGGCCTTCGGATCAACATCAATGTTCCAGATGTCTCGAAGCACCCAGAGATTCATGGGCATTTGGGCGCCTCCTGAGAAGGCGAAGGAGAATCCAGTGACCTCATGACATGATCACGCTGCCTTGGTGGACATTCACAGTCAACCCGCGCGGCAAAAATAGGCAGCCTTCCCAAGGGTACCCTTGCATCCTTGCCTCCTCGGTCCATCCTTGACCACTTTCGTTGGCCGCGCCCCGCTCGAGAAGCTTCGAAGTGAGCGTCCAAGGCCCCTGCATCCCTATCCCGCATCCTTCCTGTACGGGTTGACTGTAGAGGCCCAGGGCCCGGACCTTTTGGCGACTCGGTGAGAGTCTTGCCCGAGCTCTCTCGCTGTCATCTCGGCGCCTTCTTGGCTGGCTGCAGGGACCGTCCACGAACAGGCCGGGATGGCACACTGGCCCCCTGGGTCGGGTCGAGAGCGCCGAGGCCGAGCATGGTTTTCCCCTGCGCGTGCTGTTACTGTCATGACCCGTTTCATCCTTCCTCAAGTGCCACACGGAAGGACCCGAGAGCAACCGGAGACCTCGCAAAACGCTGGAGATATGTGGGAAGTTTCGGCCAAACCTTCGACCGTTCCTGGAGCCTGCTCTGACCATGGCTTCAAGCGGGTCCAGCCGTGGCGACGAGGACGCTCTTAGAGGCAGAACAAAGAACAAATGCCCAGAGATGTTATTTTCGGACGCAGGCGTCCTCGCTCCTCGAACGCCTCTCTCTTTCTCCCCTTGCGCGCCGTCAGGAGCAGCCCCTGGTGATCAGGCCCTGGGACACGAACATGGAGGATATGCCCCGCTGGCGCTGCCAATATAGAAGGGGGGGAGGAGGAGGAGGAGGAGGAGGAGGAGGAGGAGGAGGAGGAGGAGGAGGAGGAGGAGGGTGGGGGTGGGAGGTTCAGCGCAGGGAGCGGGTAGCAGAGAGGAGGAAGAAGAGGAGGAGGAAGAGGAGGAGGAGCAGTACCAGCCAGGGGGGGACGGAGCAGGGAGGGAGTTCCGTTTTCGTCCTTACGGTCGGTTTTGGCCGCACACCAGCCTGCTCACAGGATGTTGTCGCGAACTGGCTTGCCCACGCGAAGCGCAGCAGCATCCTGCAGCCCAGCCTGGTGCAGTACTTGAAGCACCTCGAGGAACCTCTCCGCTCTCCGCCGTGGGCGCTGCGAGACAGAGAGAGAGAGAGAAGGAGAGAGGGGTGCGTCCTGATCAGTGCTGGGCTGGCGGGGTGCTCGGGCAGCGAACATTGAAACACTTGTTAGAGCCGGGCAGGAAGCAACGCAGATAAGGAAGCAAGCGTGCACACAGACACAGTCATATCCAGCTGCTTGCGGCAAGTCCCGCCAATGTGGCAGCACCGCATGTTCGGTGGCAGCTGCTCGAGTCGACGAGGAGGAGGATGATGGTGGTTGTGAATGGTTATGATGGTGATGATGAGGATGAGGATGAGGACGACGAAGATGACGATGACGATGACGATGACGATGGGATGTCGAGGAGGATGAGGAGATGAGATTGGCGGGCGATGTAGATGAAGATGCTGCTGTTGATGATGAGGAGGACGATGACGGTGTTGAGGAAGACGAAGAGGAGAGCCGTCAGGCGTGGCACTTGTTGTCTTTACTTCTCAAAGAGCCCTCATGGACCTCAGTCGGGCCGTCTTGAGGCTGGCCTGGGCTCATGTGGGGCAGTCTTGCCTGTCACGTGGGACCCTCTCGAGTCCTCCTGGGGCCTTCTTGGGCCATCTTGGGGCTCTCTTTGAGCACTCGTGGCCTCAAGGGGGTCTCCTGGGGCCGTCGTGGGGCAGTCGTGAGTAGTCCAGGGGTCGTCTTCGGCCGTCTTGGGCTCCAGTGGCCCTTTCGCGCCAGCTTGAGGCCCTCTTGCGTAAGTCTGTCTTGGAGGCATCTTGGGCTATCTTCGGGCCCTCGAGGGCCGTCGTGGAGCCATATTTAATGCATCTTGACCCGTTTTCAGCCGACGGTATCCCGAAAGGCGAGAATGCCAAAATTCTCCAAACACCTTCGGTAATAAAGACAACATGGGTTTGGTCTCATCAGGTCTTGCTTGAGGTTCTCGTGGAGCCTCGGGGTCCTCTTGGCCGTCTTGGAGGCCATCTCGAGGCCATGGTGGGGCCACCTGAGGCTCAGGGGTGGACCTAAACGGTGTTTTGGCGATTTCGTGGGCCGTTTTCGTTTTGATTTCGTTTTGGGTGAAAGCCGGATTGAAGACACAAGGAGGGAACACGAAAACAAAGCGAAAACGAAAAACACCGTTTAGGTTCAGCCATGTTGAGGCTGCCTTGGAGGCTCCTTGGGCCAGCTTGGCGGCCCTGGTGGCCTGCCCATGCCGTGCCCGGATGCCAACTGGTAGGGGGCCACACGCGAACCCCACCCCTACCCCCCACGATTTCTGAGGGGGAGGGTGGGGTTCACTTCGTCTGAGAGCTCCCGAGCGAAGTGAACCCCACCCTCCCCCTCAGAAATCGTGGGGGCAGGGGTAGGGTTCGCATGTGGCCCCTAAAAATGGCGACGACAAGAGCACGCCGCCAGGTCTGTCGAGGGCAAGCAGAAGGGCCCAGGTGAGACGGCCGTGGCGGTCCACCAGAACCGACGTCCCATGCGGGAATGTATTCGCGATCATCGTCTGGAGAGTCAGTTTTCGGAGCCTCGGCAGGCGGTGGATACGGCCCCCGGTGGGGTAGGGTTCGCGTGTGGCCCCCTCACTGGGGCACACGTGGACGCCCTCGGGTTTGCGCCCGCGGGGCCGTCGGACCGCCCAGGGGTAGCCACGGGAGGGAGGGTCGGCCACGTCCAGAGGGGGGGCTGCGCGCCGGTCGCTGGAAGTAGGCTTACGCCGGGCCTGTCCCCCTACAGGGGGATTTTCGATGAAAAGCAAAAAATACTCCAAAAAATAGCCAAACAAATTTTCAAAAATATTCACAAATACTTTAAAACATACAAACAAATAAAAAAACGCAAAGCATAGTCCCCAGACTATGTTTGGACTACTTTTTGATTATTTTGGGGGTATTTTTTTTTCGTCGACAAAATCCCCCTGTAGGGGGACATGCCCGACTGAAAAGTAGGTATTCTTTGGACTCCCAGATCCCAATCTGCTCCAAGCGCTTTCCTATTTCGAGGATCGATATGCTTTCGCTGTGTTTTGGTATTCTCTGGGAGGGCCCGAGCCCCATCTGCTCTATCCGCCTTCCTACTTCAGGTTTCTATCTACTTCTTCCGACCGACGTGTAAGGGGAGGGGGGGAGGCTTCTCAGAAGCACCCCTGCTTCCCAGAAGGCGCGGGCCTCCTCCGTACCTGTGAGGCCAGCGCCTTCGAAGAAGCAGCCCCCTTCTGGGGAGCCTTCCCCCCTCACCCTGCCCCTGTTTGGGCGCCGCCAAGAGGGGGGGGGGGACGGTGTACGGGAGGGTGTAATACTAGACAGTCCAGCCGCGAACCGGCAAGTGTCGCCTTCCCCTGCGGCGCTGCCCTGGGGTGCCGCAGTGCCAGGCCTGCCTCACGGAGGCGGGCAGGGGCATCGCAGAAGAGAGGAGCTCGATGGGTCGAACGAGAGAACCGCCTGGGACATGCCCACGACCTGAGCGCGAACGGACAAGTGTCCTGTCCCCCGGCGGCTCCTCCTTGGGGTGCCGAATCGCCAAGCCTACTGTGTCGCCGTGAGAATGGTGCTCTCAAAACGGAAGAATATGAGGCACCAAACGAGCGAGCCGCCTGAGACATCCTCACGATCTTGGCGCGAACGGGCAAGTGTCCCAATCCCTGGCGGCTCCCCCATTTGGATGCCCAATCGCCGTGCCTGCTGCACGTGGGTGAGCATGGGTTGGCCTGAGTTGGAGGACAGAGATCGGGTAGGTCTGCGTGTTTTTTGTCTGAGTACGCGTGAGTCTGAGTATGAATGATCATACTGTGAGTGGAATGCGTGTACGAATATGAGCACTGCTTGGCTGAGTAAGGGTGGCTAGGAGTGATAATGGCTTTGATTATCAGTGGATATGAGTGTGAGCGAGTCTGGGTATGAGTGGGCTTGAGTGTGAGTGAGTCCGACTGTCAGTGCGCCTTGGTGCGATGTAGGAGAGGGAGTAGGGAGGAGGCGGGAATGAAGAAGGGAAGCGGAGGCGTCACACCAACAATTGGATACCCATATTCATAATGTGGGCAAAATCACAGCAGGAATTATTGACGCTTTGCGTATCCCCACGCCCTGCTTGTTCGACAAGGTTGCCTGGGGTACGATGGGCATCTCGCCATGGCTATCCTGTCGCTGCTGGCCCACTCACTGGCGCTCCGGGGTGTGCTCGGCTTCTCGCCGGCCATTTCGTCGTTCTGATGCACTTCTGCCTCTTCCGCGCCACTTTGGCCGCGCTGTGTTCCCCCTCGCCCTGTCGTGCTCGCGTTCGGCGCGGTCCTCCCGTCAAGTCCTACGTACGGCAAGTTCGGCGCTCTGGTTCGCCGCCTTCTCCACCCTCGGCAGCGCGACCTACGACTTCGGCATGGTTTTTCGTTCATGTTCGCTTGGGGTACGGATGGGCCTCGCCACGGCTATCTTGGAGGTGCGCGGTCCCACCTTCCGCCGTTTCTGGTTCGCTTGTACTTCACGCCCGGTACCTACTCCGCGGCCCTGGCGCTGCTCCCCCGCATCCACGCCCTTTTGTCCGCCCTGAGTTCCGCCTGTCCCGGCGTGCTCGTTGCCCTGTTTTTTTTTTGTCCGCAGGTGGCATAGCCAGCCCCCGCTTGCCCGGCGTCATATTTGATTCGTGCGCTTGCGTACCAGAAAGTACCCCCGCGCCCATCCAGAGACGATGCCCAGGGGAGTTGAGGCGATCAAGCAAATGGGGGAGCATGCATACAGGGCGGGGGAAGCCGCCAGATACCCCAAGAGGGGAAGGATGGAGGAGGAATCGTCGTCGTCGTCGGACGAGGGATGGGAGGAAGAGGAGGAGGAGGAAGAGGAGGAGGGGGAGGAGGAGGAGGAGGAGGGAAGGGAGGACGAGGAGGACACAATTGGAGACGGAGGAGAAGGAGGGAGAGTTTGGTAATTACCTTGGGGATCCTCTTGAGGCCTCGTATTGGGTCTTTTGGGAGCCTGTTGGAGGCCTCTTGGGGCCGTCTGGGCGCCTCTTGGGGCCCTCCTGGGGCGTTTTTTCGAGCTTCAGGGGCACTCTTGGGGCCATCTTGGAAGACGCCGATCACCCTTCCCCTTTTGGAGCCCCAAACATCGTTTCCTGGACCCCTCCTGGGCGATCGTGGGGCCAACGTGGGGCTTTGTTAGGGGCTATCCTGGGGCACTCTTGGGCCATCTTGGAGCCATCTTGATCCGGATGGCCACCGGAACACGTTTTTGAAAAGGATGTTGGCTTCCTGGGGAACTCCGAGGATGTTCCTGGGAGCTGTCTTGGAGCGTTCTTGGAGTTTGTTGGGGCATCTTGAAAGCCATGTTGAGGCATCTTGCGCTATTTTGAACCATCCTGGAGGTCATCTTGGGTTTTCCGAAGCGCTCTTGGAGCCGTCTGGGGCCATCTTTGACGGTCCAAGTACCCGCGACCACCCCCGTCCAGGTCCAGGGGGGGGGGGGTAGGGGGGAGGGGTAAACCCCTCCCCGAAGGGGAAGAAGGGGGTTGGAAAAGCAGCTTCTTTAGACCACCTACGCCCAGAGAGATGTGGGATTCGGCCCTCCGGGGCCGCTGCCGGGCCCAATACCAATAAAGTGACGAACAGAATCGAAGAGTTAGTCTGCAGGAAAAAGACGGGAGCTCCATGTCCAACGCATTGAAACAGAATGTGTTAGTCGGAGGTCTGGGTCGATACTTGCGCGGTTGCCTTGTGGCGTGGCTATCACAGCCATTCTAGGACCAAGCTTGGCGAAGTGGCATTAATTCGGCGCGAAGTATTGGAAGTTCCTCTCGAATGACGCGTTCGCCACACTTTGGGTTCCTACCTGATTTGGGGTCTTGGTTGGCCATGTGATCGCTATGCCACACCACTTAGCCCGCTCGCACAGCGCCTTCGGAGACCGGGGTTTATCATGCCCGCAACGTTGGACACCGCTTTCCCTTGCAACTCGGGGAGCATCGGATAGGAACATGCTCGGCCTCATGTGACCCCTGAGTTCTCATTTCGAATGCCTCCTAGGGGGGCTGGGGAGTTCGCTCCCCCAAGGGGTGGGCACACAGTCTGGCCTCGGGCATCTGGCCGCCCCAGACAGGACACGACGCCGGCGTTCCCTGTGCGCGTGGAGGCGAAGCTCACGGACGTGCATCAGGAGTTTGCGATGTGAGCTGCCGCCGCCCCTGGGCGCCAGGAAACGGGGGCGGAGTGGCCGGCCCGTCTCTGCGGGGGGCCCCGCTCGGTGCCTGCATGCGAATGTGCGCTCCAGGCCCTCGCACAAATATCGGGGCACCGTAGGCCGCAGGGAGCAGTGAGTCCAGACTTGCCGATCTAAGTCGGGCCTGACCCTCTACAGGAGGGATTTTCAAAACTAGTTGTATATATATATATATATATATATATATATATATATACATATATACACATGTGTACATATATATATATATACATATAACCATCTGGGGACTATTTTTGGGGTATCTTTTGGCCATCTTGGAATATGTTTGGGGTATTTTATTTTTCGTGCAAAATCCCCCTGTAGGGAGACACGCCTGACTTACTCCGAGGGTTCTCCGAGGAGGGGGCCCGCGGCGAAGGCCAGAGCCGCGGAGAGTGTGCGAGAGCTCCAGGGTTCCGGGTGCTCGGCATCGCTCGGACGTGTGTAATTTTGCCTTCGGCGAGGACCCTCGAGGAGCATCTTTGATCGCTTGGCGAAGAAACCACGCACGAAACCGAACAAAACCACAGGGAGTGGACGTCCGAGCGATGGCCAGGGTGCGGGTGAGCAGCAGGACGTCTGAGGTCTGGGAGATGCTGCGTCTCTGCAGCCAAGTCGCTGCAATAAGGAACCGTTTGGGTAAGAAAGGGGCCCGATGTTCCTTAGGTCCTTCTATGGCTTTTCCTCTAGCCTTCCTCGTGCACGCAGGCGCTTGTGGGGCCAAAAAGGAGCTTCGTTCCTTGTTTATCGTTCCTTCTTTCAGCAGCCCGACTGTAGGCCTCCAGGATGGGTTGGAGCGCATGGGGTCGAAGGATCGCGGCGCATCGCCGACGCATCGCCGATGCGGTTCGATGTGGAGCCCGACGTTATCCACGCCGATGCGTCGCCGATGCATCGCCGATGCATCGCCGACGCATCGGCGATGCATTGGCGAGGCGGCGCGATCCTCCGACCCCATCTACTCGGACCATGTCTAAGAGGCCTCTGGTGTCTCCCTCTCGGGGGAGCATCTGTCGGCCCTCACCTTCGCTGCCGAGCTGCACAAACGAATCAATGGCTGCCTCTGTATCCTTTCCGCTCAGCGGGCGGGCCGGGACGGGCTGGTAGCCGGGGGCCCCGGGGGTCCCTCAAAGCGGGGGTCGAGTTCCCCGTCGGCCCTCATCCTGTTCCCTCTCAAGGGTGCGCTCTGGCTGTCCAGGACTTCGAGGCGGATCCAATCGTCGCGACGACAACCCCAGAGGCCCAAGGAGGGCGGAGAGCATCCCAACACTTTTGATATTTCATCCTGCCCCCCCACCCCCCCCTGTCTCCCCCCCCCCGAGAGGTGGAATCAGAGCACGTCTCTCGGGCCGGACGAAAGGGGGGGATTGGGAAAGGGGGGGTTACGAAATTTGCTGCATGCAGCTGGTTTCGGCCCCACCGAGGGGCCCATTCCTCGATACAATCGTCGCCTCCGGCGCCGGGACGCGCCGGAAAAATCAGCTACGTGAGCTGATTCTCAACCCCCCCCCTTTGCTATCCCCCCCTTTCGCCCGACCCGAGTCTCGCTCTCCCTGTGTCTTCGGTGCTCTGGCAGTAGCGCGAGGTACACCTGCATCGGCGCGGAGAAAACGGCGCCCCTGCTGCTCGGCTGTCTGCTGCCCTGTTGGCTGCTGCCGCTGTCGATCGCAGCTCTCGGTTCGGCGACGGCTCTGTTGCCTCGCATTTGGCAGCAGCTCTCGACTGCAGCTCCTCATGGATCGGCGACGACGTCTTCGTTTCGGAGGCGCCTGGTCGTCTCTTGGATGCTCTCGTCACCGCGGCTGGACGCAGTTCGCGAGGCTGGCCGGGACGGCCCCTGGGAGGCGCTCTGGGGACTGAGCTTGAGCAGATCTTTGTCAGTCACCGATCCACCTCCTCCGTCCTCGTCCTCCGCGTCTCCCCTGTCCTCCTCGCTTCGCCTCCTCCTCCTCCTCCTCCTCCTCCTCCTGGTTCTCCTCCCCATCCTTCCTTCCCTTCGGCGCTCGAACACTCCTCCAGCGCACGGCTTCGTTACTCGGTACGGAGCCCCTGTAAAACGACGCGAAGATCGACACAAAAATCGGATCGGGATAACTCGAAATCTCTGAGAATCGGCGGGTTTGGAGGATGTATTGGGCGCCGCGGCCGCTCCAGAGCGTTCCGGAACGCTCTGAGAGCGCTCCGGAACGCTCTGGAGCGATTTATCCCGATTCTAGCCCTGTTTTACCTTGGCGATCGCCCGGGGCCGCACGGGATCCTCCGGGACTGCATCGGCAGCAGGGCGGGCCCCTTCATTGCCAAGACCTGCGAATCCCGCCCGTGCGGCCGCCCTCCCGGTGCGGGGAGGAGGGCACGAGGCCTCGGCATCGCTCGGGCGTGTGCTCTTTTTCTCGGCGAGAACCATCGAGGACCATCCTGGACCATCGAGCAAAAAAACCACGCGCGAAACCGAAACATGCACGGAAAATGGACGTCCGAGCGACGGCAAGAGGCGGAGGCAGGTCGCCGCGCCCTCTGCGGGGCACGGATGCCGAGCAGGGGGGGCCCAGGGTCCAAGGAGAGCGGGCGTCGGCGCTCCGCGCGCTCAGGGAGGCCCGCCGCCGACCGGAGAGAAATCCGCGCGGACTTCGGAGAGTGCGTGTGCGAGCGTGTGTGTCTGTGTGTCTGTGTGTCTGTGTGTCTGTGTGTCCGTTTCTGTGTGTCTGTGTGTCTGTGTGTGTGTGTGTCTGTGTCTGTGTGTCCGTGTCTGTGTGTCTGTGTGTCTGTGTCTATGTGTCTGTGTGTCTATGTGTCTGTGTGTCTGTGTGTCTGTGTGTCTGTGTCTGTGTCTGTGTGTGGGTCTACGTTTGTGTTTGTGTTTGCGTGTCTTGGCATCGCTCGGACGTGTGCATTTTTTCGGCGAGAACCATCGAGGACCATCTTGGACCATCGAGGAAACATAACCACGCGCGAAGCCGACAAAAATGCACGGGAAATGGACGCCCGAGCGACGGCAGGGTCCACGTGTGTGTTTGTGCTTGTGTGTATGTGTGTGTTTGTCTGCGTGAGCTTGTGCAGTCTGTGCGCTCTTCTTCCGAGGCGGCGATTTCTCCCTTGCGACACTGTCTGTGGGATCGATCCTCGGGGACCTTTTCGGCAGGGGCTGGACAGTGATCGGGGCGGAGCCCGGGGGGCCGCATCTATTCGGGGAAGCGTAAGACTCGAGTAAGCCGGAACTCGGGTTTGCCAACATTTTTTGACGAGCGCGTCCTGGATTTTGACGGTCCCGTTTTCGTGGGATGTCTGCAGCGGGAGTTCGCGTCTCATTTCAGATTGGGTCTCGTCATTTTTATGGTGGCCCCGTCAGGCCAACCCGAGTCCCCCGCACTGGAGTCTTACGCCTCCCCGATCTATCCACACCCACCGCCTGCCGAGAGCCCCGAAGAGCGATTCCCCGGGCAGGCGGTGGTGATGGTTGAATCCCAGCCTCGCATCTGCTTCTAGAGTTCTGGGGTCCAGGCGGCGAGCGAGGGAGGGAAGCGAGAAGGGGCGGGCCTTCTCAGAGGGCCCGAAAGTCCCCCAGGCTTCTGAGAAGTTTCCAGAGCCTTCCCCGAAGACATGAAACAAAACTTCTCAGAAGGCGCGAGGGCTCCGAGAAGTCCCCCTCGCTCGTCGTCGGCGTCGCCATCCTCGCCCTCGCCGCCGTCCACGGTGTTGTCTGCCTCGCCGTCGTCCTCGCCGCCCTCTGGTCCTCGCCGCCCTGCTGGAGTCGCCGCCCTCCCCCCCTCCGCAAGCGAGAGGTCCTGCGGCTCGAGGAGGACACCCGCGCGCTGCGGAGGCGGACGCGCGCCCCCGCCAGGGATCATCAGAGGGGGGCAGGGTGAGGCAAGGGTGACGTTTTCGTTGCCTTTTTCGCCTCCGAGGGGCCTCCCCGTCGCCACGGCTGGACGCAGCGTGAAACATCGGTGCGTTTGGGCCCCGGGAGGGGTCCGGGGACCGATGTTGAGCCGATTTGGCCACCGTTGCCTCACGGCCGTTGTCTCACGTTGCCCTCCTCCGAGATCGGATCAGGCAGCAGGACTGCGAATGGAGGGAGGGAGCGAATAGAGTCAACCCGCACAGCAAGGATGGGCAACCTTCCCAGGGGTGCCCCTGCATCCTTGCCTCCTCGGTGCATCCTGGGCGGCTTTCGTCGGCCGCGCCCCGCTCGGGAAGCTTCGGAATGGGTGTCCAAGGCACTTGCATCCTGATCGCGCATCCTTATGATACGGGCGGGCTGTAGGAGAGGGGCGAGGGATGGAGAGGGAGGGAGGTCGGTCGGTCGCCGTGAAGGAGAGGAATCCCAAGGCAAGCTAACAGTGCGCTCGCGGCATATCTGACATCCTACCCCCCCCCCCACCATCCTTTCCCATGGCGCTGGTTTGGTTTTACATCCGCCGACGCGTGTCAAAGCCGACGCGGAGCTCCAAGATAGACCCTATCGTGTTATGCGCAATCGGAGAAAAAGGGGAGCTGCGTACATCTGCGGAGGACCATGGTGCGGGTGAACAGGAGGATGAGCAGGAGGATAAGCAGGAGGAGGATGGGGAACGAGCAGGACGAAGACGAGAGGCAGCAGCTGGACCTGGAGGTGAGGGAGCGGGAGGAGCAGGACGATCAGGGGAAGGCGGCGGAGGGGAATTGAGGGGGGCGTCAACGCGGGAGAAGCATTATGATCCAACGAAGCGGCCCACGCTTTAGCACCATTCTGATCGACGGCAGCAGCGCGCCGATGCGAAATGAGGCCCCCGCTGCAGCGGAAACACTGTTTTGAAACACCGACAACATCGGATTGCAAAAAGACAAAGCACAGGGAAACCACTCAGGAAGGAAAAACACACAGAGACACAATTAATCGTCGATTCCCCAGAACATATGCGAAACTATGTGAAGTGGGGGGCTGACAGAAACCCCACAAAAATAATGGAAACTATTGGGAATAGTTTTATTTGTGTGTATTTATGTGTGTGTCCTGGGGCCCCTTCAACCACACTTACCCAATTCTGTGCTTAACGAACATTACTTGGGCGAAAGACCCAACCATATGCAGTTGTGAGTATTGCGTTGTGGGTACCGACCGCTTTCGATGGAGCTTTTGGGGGGGCCACGACATGTGTCAGGGGTGTGCCGAAATTGGAGCCTTCGGTGAAGCTTCCTATGGGATTCTCAAACGTGCGAGGGGTGCGCCGAAACAAGGCGCGACGGTACCGTGCGAGCGATGCCTCTCGATGGGGCCACGAAGCTTGTGAGGGATGTGCCGAGGCGGGCGCGGTGGTGCCATACGGGTGCTGCCACTGGGGCTTTCGCGGACCCGCCCCTTGCGAGGCAAGAGGACGAGGGAGGGGAGGGGAGGGGTGGAGAGACGGCGCGTGGGGATCCGAGGGACAATCGTCATCCTCGTCCTTGTCCTCCTCATCCTCTTCCCCCTGACCCCGCCACGTGTAGATTCGCATGCGTATATCGGTGCATGCTTACGCATGTGATCGGGAGGGGGGCACAACATGCACGAGCAGAAGACAGAGAGAGCTGCGCAGGCGGCTGCTGGAGTTCCAGGGCCTCGCCCCCCCCGGGGCCGCGCCCGGGGCCGCGCCCGGTGCGCTGGCGCAGGCGCGGGCGGCGGGAGCCGCCAGCAGCACCGCCGCCGAGCTGGCCCGCTGGCGGGAGGCTTCGCGGGCGAAGGGCCGCACAGTTCAGAGGAGGGAACCCAGACCCCCCTCGCGTTGTGAAAGTCTCGCGACGGGGGGCTTTTACTATTTTCGGTCTCTGGGGGCCCTTCCCGGGCCTCGGGACCGTCCAAAACGACTCAGGATGAAGAGCCAGTCCCTGGGAAGGGGTCCAGATTTCTGGGGTCGACGTTCTGAAAAAAAACACGACGTCTGGGATCCGAGGTAGTTCAGAGGGAAGAGGTGTCCATATGCCCACCGTTTCCTTCGTTTTCACTTTTGCGGCCTCCTGGGAGGCTCTCGTCGCCACGGCTGGATGCGCTCCGACATCCTGTTCAGAACGCACCCCGGGAGATGTCCGGGGAGTTGCGGCATCGGTGCTGTTCTGCTTCCCCAACGGCATGCTGCTTCCCTCCGCAGCTTGTCTGCCAGGGTTCTCGGCATTTCTTCGATCACGTCTGGGGAGGGAGCCGGGGCCGCACCGTGAAACAGGTGGCCCGTCTTGGCTGTGTCAAGCTGATTAGGGCCCTGCTGTCGCAAGAGTGTCATTGTGTTCTGCCGCCTGGCGCTCCCATCCCAGGGCGGCTGCTCAGCTTAAATGCCCCTGCGGTGGCGCGTCGAGGTGCAACAATTCCAGTCGCCGCGGGGCAGGCCCCCGGTGAAGGCGGAAAAAGCAAACAGGGGGGTGATAGCCCTGACCTTCCAGGAGGGCTACAAGACAGCACCAGGACCTCGACGTCTAAATTCCTGCCGACGCTCTCAGGCAGTCCAGATAGCTCTGTGGGTCTGGAGGGCTATGTTTCGGCACTCTGGCAGGTCAGGAAGCCAGGGGGGGGATCTCACTGGCGGGGCCTGGGCACCTCCCGGATGTCATGCCCCCCCCCCTTCTCGTCTTGTTTCGACGCGCCCCCTGGCCCCCCACCCGCGGGCGCGCCTGCCGCGGGCAACGATGGCGCAGCCGCCTCTCCCTGGGCGCCCCCCCCCCTCTCCTGCATGCTCCCGCTCCTCCCCTGCAGCCGCCCCCTCGGCCGACCGTGGGAGGTCGTCAGCTGCGCCGACGACCTCTGCCGCGAGGACTCCGCGGCGGTGCTCCGCGCGCTGCTCCGCGGCGAGCGCGCCGTGGCCGAGCACCGCCGGGCCGAGCACGCGTGCGCGCGGCGGTGGGCCGCGTGGGCGCAGGTCGGGGGCTGCGTCTCGGGAGGGGGAAGGGGTGGGAAGGGCATGGCGGGGATCCGAGGTCTGGGGCAGGGATCCTTGATTGGAGACGGTGCCGCAGGTCGATCGCTGGTCACATCCCTGACTGGGAACGGTGCTCCAGCTTAAGCGGTGGCCGCAATGTCATGCTGGGATGCTGACAGCCTCCATCTTGGGCGCGTGTTCGGGCTGTCCGGGGGTGGCACGGGGGCGGGAATGTTCGATTTGTTTTCCCAATCCATGGAATTGCAAACGAAACATGTGATGCAGGCATAGGAACCACTCCCTGAGGGACCACTATTCGGGGACGTCGGCAGGTGGCGGCTATAGGGTATGTTCGGGGGACCTGGGGCCAATCTACGTCCATATCCACCGACCCTTGAGGTCCCAGACTGTCGGATCCCCTTGCGATTGATATAGATTAATCCCCGCATCGCACAGGGGGAAACGCATAGACCCCCAACCGACCACTCATCGCCAATGTGGGCCCGACAGCCCACGCTGCCCACGAACGCGCTGATTGGCTGTCGGGTGGCCTGCAGCCGAATTGTCAGCGACGTATCGCCGACTCCAGGGCGATGCTTCCCCCCCTTACCCCCCCCCGCCCTGAGCCGGTCCCCTTCCCGATCCCTGCCCCTCAGCAGGAGGCGCAGCTGCTGGCGGAGCGCGGCCGCGAGTCGCGGGCGGAGGTCAGGAGGCTGCGGGGGCGCTGCGAGGAGCGGGTCGGACGAGAGTCAAGCAGTGGCGAAGCGTCCCGGCTCGCCTATAGCCCCACCAAACAATGTTCTAAGAACCTTTCGTGGTTCCCACGAAATGTTCTTAGAACATTTCTGGCTGGGACGGTCTTGCTTTCACACATCGGGTTTGTGTTCTAAGAACCTTGTTTTTGTTCTTAAAACAGTTTTGGGTTCTAAGAACATTTCGTGGTATGACTATAGGATCGGGGGCGGGAAAGAGGGGGGTGATGACTAGGGGGGGGTGGATATCATGGCGTGGGCCATGATTTTTCCCCAGATCTCATGGCGCCTCTTCTTATTTCATTACGTCCCTGGCCCCCCCGCTGGGCCGCGCACGTGCCGCCGGTCATGCTTTGCACCCCCCCCCCTTGGACACCTCCCTCTTGGCCGCTCCCGATCGGAATGCCGGGACGGTCCGTCCCTGCTCGAGAGAGGGCACCTTCGGGGCGGCAGGTCTCCGAGCGCGGCCGCGGGGCCCTCCGGCGGTCTCCTGGCCTCGGGGATGCCCTCCGGCTGCTGCGCCTCGCGGGGGCGCTCCCGGGGGTGCACGGATCGCCCCGAAGGGCCGCCGGAGGCCCGAGGTGTGGCACGGAGGCCAGGCTTCGAGCATCGGGGCTGGACCTGAAGGATGTTTGTGGTGATTTCTCGGGGGCGGCAAAGAGGGGGGTGATGACTAGGGGGGGTGGATATCATGGCGGGGGCATGATATTTCCCCAAATATCAGGCGCCCCTTCTTATTTCACTACGTCCCTGGCCCCCCCGCTGGGCCTCGCACGTGCCGCCGGTCATGATTTGCACCCCCCCCTCTTGGACACCCCCCTCTTGGCCGCTCCCGAATTTCGTTGGCCGTTTTCGTTTCGACTTCGTATTGCGGTAGAGGCGGATTCGAAACAAAAGCGAGGGGAAGCGAAACAACAAAACGAAAGCGAGAAACACCGTTTGGGTTCGGCCCTGTCGAGAATCATCCGGGTCGGAAGAACGTGGGAGAGACAACAGGGAAAGAAGGGCCACGATCTCTGCTCCACGCGACTCATATCGGCCCCGCCGCCGCGCGCTCTCCATGAGCTTGCTCGCTAACGGCCCCGTGACGGACCCCCCTCCTCGTCCGACGCGAGAGGAGGTGGGCGCCGCGGCGGGCGCTCGGCGCGCGGGGCTGTGGGCCGAGCTGGAGGCCGGGGTCGTGGGCGGCGACGCGGACGGCGGCGGCGTGGAGGAGCGCGGGGACGATCAAGAGGGGAAGAGCACCCGGGCCCGATGGCGTTTGCTAAACGGCCCTGGGCGTTGATTGAGCGGCCCTGCCTTGTCCGATTCCTTCTTTGGGTGCGCTTACTGCTGGGCTTCGCTCGTCGGAGTGATGACAGTCGGCCCGGATTAGTAGGTCGACCCTGCCAAATCAAGAGTACCCTTATGTCTTGTGTCTCGCGACCCATGCCTCCTGCATTCCTACGGCAATATGGCCCTCGGAAGCGTCTTTTGTCCTCGCGTGCCTTGTACAATGAAGTCCGACGGTAGTATGAGGGCGAATCTTCTGTTCTCTAGAGCAGGCGGAGGATCCCGATGGAGACTGCGACGAGGCGCGGCGGGCCGCGCGGCGGGTGCGGGAGCGGCTGGAGGAGCTGCTGGCCGCCGCGGTCGAGGCCCAGGCGCAGATCGGGGCGCACGAGGACGGCCTTTTTGAAGGGGCCCTGGGACACACAAATAAATACACACAAAACAAATATTCCCCATATTTTCCAATATTTTCTGGGTTTTTGTCTTCCCCACCACTTCCCATATCCTCCCATATTTTCTGGGGAGTCGACGATTAATTGTGTCTGTGTGTTTCTTCCCCTCCTGACTCTTGGCGGCCCGTGGCTGCCTCATGGCGGCCTCCTGGCGGCCCTCGGCGGCCCTCGGCGGCCCTCGGCGGCCCTCGGCGGCCTTCGGCGGAGGACGAGGCCGCGAGGCTGGCGATGAAGGCGCGGCAGGCGGAGGCGAGGCTCGCCTTGTCCGAGGCCGCGTCGCGGGAGGCGGAGGCCGGCGACGCCGGCGGCGGCGACGCGCGCGGGGGCGGCCGCGCCGCGGACGTGGAGCGCATCGTCGACCTGGAGGTCTTGGCATCGCTCGGACGTGTGCATTTTTCCTTCGGCGAGGACCATCGAGGAGCATCCTTGATCATTTGGCGAAAAAGCCACGCACGAACCCGAACAATGCACAGGGAATGGACGTCGACGTCCGAGCGATGGCCAGAGGTCGAGAACGAGCTGCTGCAGTGGCAGCTCCTGGGCCTGGAGGAGCGCGCGCGGCGGGCGGCCGCCCCGCCAGCGCGCCAGGGGCTCCCCGCCCGCGCGCGGGCGGGGCAGCCTGCGCTGGCGCCGGCCGCGCCCTCGCCCGCGCCGACCGCCGCGGGCCCTGCGGCGGCGGAGGACGTGCTTCCCCCCCCCCGCCGATCGCCGACGACGTCTGTTTGGCAGCGTCCTCTTCAGCGCCGCCGCCGACGTCTGCGTCGGCGTCCTCGTCGCCGCTGCCACCGGCGTCGCCGCCGCCGACGTCTGCGTCGGCGTCCTCGTCGTCGCCGCCGCAGGCCTCGTCGACGGCTTCGTCGCCGACGTCGCCGTCGGCGGTCGTCGGAGACGCCAACTTGCCCGCCCAAGGTCGGAGCCCCGAATCATCAGGGCTCGGGGCGGTCAGTGGTAGCTGCAGTTCTCCGCCTCGGAGGGTCAAACCTGAGCTCATTGCCCAGGGCCGCAGGTTTCCCCCTATCAATTCGGGCGTCCAGCAAGGGGCCGACTCCCGGCGGGCCCTGACCTTCGAGAGTGAGGCGGCGCTCTGGGCGGGGGGCGTCGAGGATTTTGTTTGCTGCTGTGTGCCTACGCCCCGATTTTGTTGTTTGTTTGTTTGATTATTTTGTTTCTTGCTGTTTTTTGTTTGGTTTTTGGTGTGATGTTTGTTTTTTCTGTTTGTTGTGCGTCCGGGAGGCTGACCGTCGCCGTGCGAGGGGGTCCCTTCGGAGTCTCGGTCGTGCCGCATCCCTGGAAAGACCGATCGGGTCCTGGGGAAGAGTCGCCGAGCGCGTTTTCCAGTACTCGCAGAGTGCCCACCCGCACACGTGCGGAACAGAGCACAGGTCTGCCTCGATGCAATGTATCGTGCACCCCCCGTGGCGGGACCAGGCCATTTTTTGCGTGCAGTTTCCTGTTGCGAGTGGTGGAGCGCGCTTGTCCAAGGAGCGAGGCGCCCAGAGGCATGGCGACAGGCGCCAGACCAGGGCTTGTTTCGATTCCTCCGATTCGATTCGATTCGATTTCGGTGGATTCCGATTCCGATTCGATTCGATTTCGGATTCCGATTTGGGGTCCGATTCCTTATTGGAGGCAATACTAGCCTGCCGATTTCCGCCGATTCGACTTCTCCCGATTCGGCTGCCGATTTCCGCCGATCCGATTCGCGTCGATTGCCGATCCGATTTGTCGATTCGATTCTGGGCGCCGCCAGATCCCCAGGTCCCAGCAGCATCGCGAGCATGCCGCCCCCCGCCGCGCCTCCTACCACTGCTGCCCGCTCTGCTGAAGGGGCCCCAGGACACACAAATAAATACACACAAATAAAATGATTCCCCATATTTTCCAATATTTTTTGAGTTTTTATCTTCCCCCCCACTCCCCATATTTTCCCATATCTTCCTGGGAGTGGACGATTCATTGTGTCTGTGTGTTTCTTTCCCTCCTGATCTGCATGCCGTGGCCCGCCGCCGGATCCCCAGGTCCACCCTGTATCCCGAGTATTCCGCCCCTCGTTCGCCTTTCACTACTACCGCCCCGCATACCGCGGCCGCCGGATACCGCGGCCGCCGGATCCCCAGGAGCATATAGTGTCCCGAAAGTCCCGCCGCGGCGCCTCGCCCTTACCAGTAATTACTATTACGACTACGACTTCACACAGCAACAGTATTACTACCACGACTGCCTCTACTCTTCGACAAGATTAGAACAGGACAGGATCCACCACGATTGAACGAAACATCTCTTAATGGAACATCACACACCATGGTTCAATCGGATCCGTTCCACCAGAAGAGTACATCAGTGCCGTACTTAAAACATAACCCACTATACGAGCATGTAGCATGCCAGGTTTTTTAACAGAATAGACGGCAAGATCGCACAATCTATCGAAAATGACCAGAGAAGAACGACCCGTTCAAGCTACTAGGATTGTCAATCGGGTAGAAAGTCATAGTACAGAATCTTGCAACAATGACAGCACATGACCTAGCATAATGTATATGGTAGAAGAGAACCGATCAGGACCCAACAAACCATAACATGAGAACTTGCAACGCAGTTGCGAACGAGTGGTAGAGTTTAGGAACAGTGCTCCCGGCCAGCCTCACACACCCTGCATACCGCCGCCGCCATGTCGCAACGACCACAGACGGTCCTTGAGCGGCCCGCCTCGCGTTGTCGACGACACGCACGTCGTCACACCGCCCAGGCGTCACGACGTCACGCCGCTGCCACTACGAAGGAGATCCCATTCCAGAACTGAAGAGAGGATCATATGACGGGAAGAGAACCGATCATTACAGAACACGTTGTACCAGAAAAGACAGGCGCGAATATAGCAGGACATAACATACCAGAATGGAAGAGAATGGTAGCCAGTGAACACCCCAAACAGTGAGCTCATCTCAACATATGCGGTGCAATCAATGTGGTGCAATGCAGGTGGTGCAATGTAGGTGGTGCAAACCATGTGGTGCAATCAATGTGACGCAAAGCGAAGCAAAGCAATGCAACGCAAAGCAATTCACTGAATACGATTGAACTACACGTCGGTTGCCAAGCAACGCACAGTAATGCACATTAATCAAACGGAAACTATGCAACGCAATGCAAAGCAATGCACAGCAACGCATAGGAATGCAAAGTAACGCGTAGGAGTGCAACGCACTGCAACGCAATGCAAAGAAGTGCAACGCAATGCAATTTGAAGCCATGTGAAGCAATGTGAAGCACTGCGTTGCAGTGCAACGCGTTGAAGTGAGATTGCAATCTAACGCGACTTCAATGCAATGCGATTGCAATGCAACTGGGGGTGTGCAATGGGACGGTCGGGACGGTGGCCGCTGAGGCCTCAAACAAATTTTGTGTTTGGAGGAATGGTGCGGCAACGGACGGGAACGGGGCCGCAAGGACCGCGCTTGGGCCCAGTTCCTTAGGAGAGAAGGAATACTTGTTGACGCTTCGCGTACCCCCACAAGCTTGCTTCGGCGTGTTCGCCCTGTCCTTCAGCGTTCTCGTCCTGTGCTTCAGCGTCTTCCGCGCCCCCTGAGCTGCAGCGTAGCTCGCTCCTGTTGCCCTCGGTTAATTTAGTGCTTGGCCCGGTTGCCTTGTTATTTTGGGCGCGCGGTCGTACCGATTGCGCTCGCAATCAAAAGTACCCCCACCAGCCCATCCAGAAACGATGCCCAGTGGAACCGAGGTGATCGGGGAAGTGGGTGAGCATGCAGACGAACAAAAGGCGGGGGAAGCCATCCGATACCCCAAGAGGGGGAGGATAGTGGAACGTCTGGGGGGCTTGGTGCCTCGGGGGTCCTCCTGAAGCCTCTTGGGGGCATCTTGGGGGACTCTTGGAAGCATCTTAGGCGCCTCTTTGGGCCGTCTGGGCGCCTCTTTGGGCCCGCGTGGGGCGTTGCTGGGAACTTGAGAGGCGCTCTTGGGGTCATCTTGGAGGACATCGATCAAGCAAGAGGGGAGTTTCAATTAGCTTCTCCCCTCGAGAGCCCCAAACGTCGTCTCTTAGTGCGCACTTGGGCGCTCTTGGGGTCGTCTCGGGGCTCTCATAAATTTCTCCTGGGGCCCACATGGGCCATCTTGGAACCATATTGAGGCCTCGGACGGCCATCGGAAGCGAAAAGGCGAGAACGCAACAAGCATTGATTGTCCTTAGGTGTTTGAAAGATTTTTGCCCTCTTGGGGGACTTCTTGGAGGTCTCGGAGGCCCCCGGGAGCCGTCTCGGAACGCTCTTGGGGCTTGCCAGAGTATCTTGAAAGTCACATTGAGGCATATTGCGCTATCTTGAGCCATCTTGGAGGTCATTTTGGAGGTCATCTTGAGCTGTGTGAGCCCCTCTTGGAGCCGTATTAGGCCATCTTTGACGCTCCAAGTGACGCCGCCCCCCCCGTCACGGTCCAGGGGAGAGGGCCCGAATGGAAAGAAGGTGTTTGGAAGAGGAAATTCTTTAGACCACCTGCGCTTAGAGGGCTGATGGGATTTATAATTGCAAGCTCTGTTTGGGAACCAAAAAGAAACAGTTTGTACGTTTCTAAGTCAGAAGAGGGTAACCACATCCCCTTGATAATTACTGATGCCCCCCCCCCTAGCCTTTTTTATCAGGACTTTCTCCGACAATTCATGTTTGGTGTGCGGGCGGGGGCGTTGAGGCCGAACTGGATTATCACCGGGCCAAGTGCCAATCGTTGCCAGCATCTTGGCAGCATGGGGGTAGAATTATGACCAATATCATCATCAACGCTGTGTTGCTATACCATACTGGTCCCCCCCCCCATGGGGCACCCGCAGTTCGTCGACGTCGTCGTTCGTCGTCCGTCGACGTCATCGTCGTCGCCGTCGTCGTCGAGTACAGCGGGCCTACGCCGGATCCCCCCTTCGATGGGGCATCCGAAGTGCGTCGTCGTCGTCGTCGCGTCGTCGTTGTCGTCGTCGTCGGCAACGACGAGTGCAGCGGGACTCACAGCGCAGCACCCCCCCCTCTGGGCCAGCTGCAGTGCGTCGTCGTCCGTCGCCGTCGTCGTCAACAGCAGTTCTACGCAGCACCACCCTCCTCCCGCACCCCGCCCCATGGGGTGTCAGTCCTCATTGCGTCGTCGTCGTCGACGACAACAGTGGCCCCGCCCTCCCTGTCCATCAATTATCCGCAGTGCGTCGTCGTCCGCCGTCGCTGACGCCGCCGCTGCCGCCGTCGTCGTCGTCGCCACCGCCGCCGTCGTAGTAGGACATATTGTAGTGGAAGGGGGGGAGGGGGGGACAAGGAAAACCAGGAACCAGGAACTCGAACCGTCTGCCTCTACCGTTCCTCCCCCCTTCGTCCGTTTTTTGGGGGGTTTCTACCAGCCGTGCCGGCACCGCCCGCCAGCTGAGGCGCCTCTTCCTCCCATTTCGTGGCCGCTTGGGCATAGCCGCCGTGCGCGCTACTCTCCCCCATCCGCTGAAGCGGCGCCGATTGCGTTGCGCCTGTCGCCCTCGTGCTGTCGGCCAGGTGTCGGCGTTAATCACCTGCGCCGCCGCCGTGTGTTCCCATTTGGCGAGCCCCCCCCCGCCATTGGCCCGAACACGGGACCATTTTTAATGCGCGTCCTGCTTCATTTTGTTCACTCCAAGCTGGCATGAGTTTGCGCCGCATTGCACGCCATGGTCGGGAGGTGCGACAAGGTTATCCGTAAGGGTTTCGCCCCCTGTCGCCGGCCCGCTGTTTCGGATAATGGGCAACGCAAGAGCGAAATCATGAGGCCGACGCGAATCTTTTCTAAAATACAAACGGTTCTGGTTTCTTGGCCAATATAGTAGCGCAAAATACGATGGTTGAAGGATTCGGGGACGCGAATATACCGTACTTTGAACGTAACGTTAAAGGGTTTACGGCCCCGGAGACACGTTTATTGCACAATTAATTGGGGTTATATAGTTTCGGCGAGTTTTCTGTAAATTACGAGGGTGTATGGTTTGTTTCTCGGCCGAGATTATAGTGTAACCTACGAGGGTTTATGGTTTCGGGGACGCGAAAAAAGGGTTGATGGCTTTGATACGCGAGTATAATGTAATTTGCAAAAGGTTTATGGCTTCGGATACGCGAGTAACGCGTAATCTACGACGGTGTATGGCTTCGGGGTCGCAGATATATTGACACAGGTGCATGGTTTTTGAGACGCGGGTGCTGCGTACTTTAAATGTGTTTATGGCTTCGGGCACACGAATATAGGTAATGTTCGAGGGGTAGCAAATATAGCGTACTGTACACAGGTTTATGGCTTCGGATATGCGAACATTGTGAAAACGGAGGTTTATGCATCGAAGACGCGAATACACAATCATTTTCGAGGGTTTATGGCTTCACCCGCGTTTGTGGTTTCGGGGATGGAAATATTGCGTAATTTAAAAGGCGTATGGCTTCGGGGACACGAATCTGGAGTATTCTGCAAGGGTTTATTGTCAATTTCGCCCCCAAAGAAATCCCGAGAACCCTTGCAGGAGACGCTAACCAGGGCATTTTTCGGTCTCCCCCCCTCGCGCAGTCTACAACAAGCAACAGTAAACAACAAGAGGCATAATTGCAACAGTGGGAACTGAAAGCTAGAACTGGCGCAGGGAACAGCAAACCATCAGCCTACAGCCTGGTGGCCCACCAGGGGGCCAGCGGATTCGAACACGGTCGGTTTCGGACATTCGTTTTTGCCCGAATTTCAAAATAACAAACTCTTCGGACGTCATTCCAATTCGTACGCCGAAGCACCCGCCAAGATTTTGGTCATTGGGTTGATCCTTTCCAATTGAACTTGTTTCGTGGTGTCCTAGGAATGTTGATAGAGGTTCCCCCGACCACCCTGAGCTGACTGTGGCGTCATCTTCGGCTTCCCCGTGGGGCCCCGTGACCCCGGCGGGGGTTCCAAACAATTTTGTCGCATGGTTTTACGGACCCGGCTACCCCATGATGGGCCCCATCATTTTTCCTCACGTTTGGTTGCACCGGGGATTCGTCTTGTGACCGCCTGGTTCCAACAGGCCCAATACAGTTGTCCCTTGCGGTTTTCGCTGATCATACAAAGTTTTCCCGCGTAGTCTAGCAGCCTCTCTTCGCAAGGTTCCCCTGGATTTTTCTACGGCCCCTAGCTTCTCCCATATGGCAGCAAAGGGCCCTTGTGCGTACCATCCCTTCCCACCCACAGGGCACAGGGCCATTTTTCGGAGGCCTGGAAATGGGCACCAACACCAACACAGGGGGTTGCCTCCACAGGGGGAAGATGATCCTGGATTCGGTGTCGGTGGTAATATTTCGGCCATCCTGGAAGCCAGAATATTACCACCATCGCCGAGATCGGGATCTTCCTCCCTCGATGGAGGCACACCGCCGATATTGGTGTTGGTGTCAACCCCTAGGCCTGCGAATTTTAGGGACCCGAGCCTCTCCCGCATCAGGGCCCGCAGGGCTCCACCACTTAGGGCTCGCATGTCCCCCCCGCGGCGCTTCACGCAGAGCCTTGGCATCGCTCGGACGTGTGCATTTTTTCTCGGCGAGGACCATCGAGGACCATCCTGGACCATGGAGCCAAAAAACACGCACGAAACCGAAAAAATGTACGGGAAATGGACGTCCGAGCGACCGCAAGAGAACGTTTGTCGCCCTTCTATGTTCCCGCCCAGTCCCGTTTCCTCCGCGGCCTCAGTTTCCCCGAGGCGGGTCTCTATTCGGGGGCGGAAAAGAGGGGGGTGATGACTAGGGGGGGTGGATATCATGGCCGGGGCCATGATATTTCCACAGATTTCGTGGCGCCCCTTCTTATTTCATTACGTCCCTGGCCCCCCCGCTGGGGCGAGCACGTGCCGCCGGTCATGATTTGCACCCCCCCCTTCTTGGACACCCCCCTCTTGGCCGCTCCCGATCTACATACACCTACAAATGTTGCTCGTTGTCGCAGGAGGACAAGGTGTGGATCCCGTTGGCGCCCATCAGTTGTTATCCCACTTTCCGCTGGTGTAACCTCAGAGGGCCTTCTCGCACACCCTGACAACGTTAGCAGAAGCCTCGGCGCCCGAAGTGCTCAATATCAATTTTTCCGAACCAGATGATGTTCGCAGGCGTCCTCCAAAATGGGTCAGTTTCGCTGCCGCCCTCCAATTCATTTCATTTCCACACATGTTTTCTTTTCTAAAGCGTTCCTACTCGCAGGTCCCTTCGAAGGAGCGCGGAGGAGGAGGAGGAGGAGGGAAATAAGAGGAGGAGGTAAAGAGGAGGAGGAGGAGGAGGAGGACGAGGCAATTAGGAGGAAACTTGCGGGAAGGAGGAGAGATGACGGATGGGAAGAGGAGCGACGAAGGGGGAATGAAGACGGAGGATGAGGGAACGACGTTGCCCGAAGAGCAGGCGCTCTGTCTCTTGGAGTGCGTGGAGCCCCTCGGCGAATCTTTGGGTGGGGCACGCGTCGCGGTCAGCCCCCGCGCCGCGGTTTTCTTCGATGGCGCCGCATGAGTCTTCGCAGTTCGCCGCGCCGAGTAGAGCTGCGAGTGTGCTCTGCGGGGGCGCCTCCCCCACCCGACCCCCTCTCGTCCGTCCGTCGTCCTCCCCACCGTCTCCGCCCCCACGCCAACGCTGCCTTGATGTCAAGTCGGGCCTGTCGCCCTACAGGGGTATTTTCGACGAAAAGTAAAACATACCCAAAACATACTCCAAAAAAGCCCCCAAAAAAAACACAGACGATTTTTGGATTATTTTTGATTATGTTTGATGTATTTTTTATCTTTCATAGAAAATCCCCCTGTAGGGGGACAGGCCCGACTTAACCCTGATGCGGGAATCGCCGCACATCGCGTGCTACCACGCCTGTCACTCCGTGACGCGTTCGGGCTTCGGCGAATGCGTGAGCGGGGCTATCTCTGCAGGCGCCATTCTCGTCTGTGCTGCTTGTAGAGAAACTATTCAAGTGCCCGGCATCATCCTTCTTGAACTGGACATGCCGGTTGAGTCCTGGCATAACTCGCCTGCGCCTTTTACCTTGCACCACATAGGTTGTGCCACATTGCATCCTCATCCACAGCTTGCACCACACAGCTTGTACCACGAATGTGGCACATAAGTTGCACCACGCAAGTTGCATCCTACATGCTGGACGGTATATTTGGCACATCGAAAGTGCAAGCTGACTCTCATTCTACGTCTCTTGCCAGATGGGCCCGTGTCCGCCGTGCGCGCGGTGTACGCGTGTTGTTGTTTGTCGTGCCCGCTCTCGCGCGCATCGTGCGATTCCACGCAGAGCGCCCGCGCGACGGCCCTGTCCCCTGCGGACGCTGCTGCTTCAACCGTGATGGCCCGGGGACGGCCCTTCCCCCTCCCAACGCATATTTGGTTGCTCTCCCACGAGGCACGCCCAAGCCGCCGAGACCGCTCGTCGGCCGTTCGCCCTGTCCCCCCCCCCCCCTTTGCGCAGTGTGTTTTGTGTGCAGAGCTGACCAGGGTGGATGATCCTCAGGACGCGTGTTGGTCAAATGTGGTTCTACCCCGTGCAGCCCCACTGGTAGATCGTTGAGGTGCTTGCGTCGTATGGTTGTGGAAGTCGATTAATGGAGAGGGACCGTGCTGCCAGGTAATGTCCAGACGTCTACAAAATGTTTCAAACTTTTTTGAATATGTAAAAACATGTTTGAAACTTTTTTAGAACACGGTTGACACATTTAAAACACATGTTTTAATTCAATGATCGGGTTGTTAGAGTGCCCATTGCCATGGCATCCACAATCGTATGGAGTGGTCTCGGTGGACAGACACACGTTGATGCTAGCACACGTTCCAAGGATCGTCGGCAGAGTCAGGGCCTCTGCGCGCCGCGGCCCCCCCAACTTCGTACACGGTGCTCCTCCGTGCAGAAAGGGCCAGGCGGTGCACGCCGCAGCAGAAGCCAAGCATCGCTCGGACGTGTGCATTTTTCCTTCGGCGAGGACCATCGAGGAGCATCCTTGATGATTTGGCGAAAAAGCCACGCACGAAACTGGAAAACAACACAGGGAATGGACGTCCGAGCGATGCCCAGGAAGTGACTCCGGAGAAGGATCTCCTGGCAGTGGGCAGCTTCCCTTGTCCCACAGGACGCTGGGCAGCGCAACCCTGCGCAGCCGGGCTCCCAGCAGCTCGAGCATGCAGTTCCCGCGCCGCGTGCCGTGGGCACCCAGCCGCCAGCTCCGCCGACCGAGGCGGCAGCCGTGCCGTTGGCAGACCAGGACAGCTCCCCGCGACGGTGCGAGTTTGCCTCAGGATATGTTTCGGTCATTCGCGACCAAGTCACCATGAAGAGACGGGAAGAGAAGGCGTCCCGAGGGCTTGGGGGAGGAGTCTCGAGGTTCTTCGCCGTTTCCAGGTTCCCTAGGCCCTTTTTTGGCCCTGGCTATGCCAAACAACAATCCAATGATGGAACAGTTGTTGTTAGGATAGCTTCGCGCATTCCCACCAGCCCATCCAAAAGCGATTGATATGCGAGCTGCCCAGAGCAGGGAGGACGTGTCATAGCATGCCGTGAGCCAAAGAGGGGAGGAGCCGTCAACCAGAATCCGGCGGAATCCTTCTCGCTTCGCGTAGCCCCACCAGCCCACCCAGATACGATGGCTAGAGAAGTTGCCCTGAACAGAAGAGGGTTGTATTGTTCAGAGATATCGGGATCTCGTGCAGCCCCACCGGTAGATCGTTGAGGTGCTTGCGTCGTATGATTGTGGAAGTCGATTAGTGAAGAGGAAGCATGTTGCCAAATGATGTCCAGACGTCTACAACATAATTCAAACATGTTTTAGTTGTGTGAAACCACATGTTTGAAGCATTTTTAGATCACGGTTGACACATTTAAAACACATGTTTTAATTAAATGATCGGGTTGTTAGAGTGCCCATTGTCATGGCAGCCACAATCGTATGGAGTGGTCTCGGTGGACAAAGGCACGTTCATGCTAGCACACGTTCTAAGGATCGTCGGCAGAGTCAGGGCCTCTGCGCGCCGCGGCCCCCCCACCTCGTACACGGTGCTCCTCCGTGCAGAGAGGGCCAGGGCGGGACTTGGAGCAGCAGGCTTAGGGGGCCACATGTGAACCCCACCCTCTCCCTCAGAAATCGCGGGGGGTAGGGGTAGGGTTCACATGTGGCCCCCTGAGCCTGCTGCTCCAAGGCCCGCCCTGGCCCTCTCTGCACGGAGGAGCACAGTGTACGAGGTGGGGGGGCCGCGGCGCGTAGAGGCCCTGGTTCTGCCGACGATCCTTAGAACGTGTGCTAGCATGAACGTGCCTTTGTCCACCGAGACCACTCCATAAGATTGTGGCTGCCATGACAATGGGCACTCTAACAACCCGAACGAAGTGAACCCCACCCTCTCCCTCAGAAATCGTGGGGGGTAGGGGTAGGGTTCACATGTGGCCCCCTAAGGCTGTGCACGCCGCAGCAGAAGTGACTCCGGAGAAGGATCTCCTGGCAGTGGGCAGCTTCCCTTGTCCCACAGGACGCTGGGCAGCGCAACCCAGCGCAGCTGGGCTCCCAGCAGCTCGAGCATGCAGTTCCCGCGCCGCGTGCCGTGGGCACCCAGCCGCCAGCTCCGCCGTCCGAGGCGGCAGCCGTGCCGCTGGCAGACCAGGACAGCTCCCCGCGACGGTGCGAGTTTGCCTCAGGATATGTTTCGATCATTCGCGACCAAGTCACCATGAAGAGACGGGAAGAGAAGGCGTCCCGAGGGCTTGGGGGAGAAGTCTCGAGGTTCTTCGCCGTTTCCAGGTTCCCTAGGCGTTTTTTTGGCCCTGGCTATGCCAAACAACAATCCATTGCCAATGATGGAACAGTTGTTGTTAGGATAGCTTCGCGCATTCCCACCAGCCCATCCAAAAGCGATTGATATCCGAGTTGTCCAGAGCAGGGAGGACGTGTCATAGCATGTTGTGAAACAAAGAGGGGGGAGCCGTCAACCGTCAACCAGAATCCGGCGGAATCCTTCTCGCTTCGCGTAGCCCCACCAGCCCATCCAGACACGATGCCTAGAGAAGTTGCCCTGAACAGGAGAGGGTCGTATTATTTGGAGATATCGGGATCTTGTGCGGCCAGAGGCCCCCTGGAAGCTTTTTTGGGTTCTCCTGGGGTGCGTCTTGAGAGCCTCTTGGAGGCATCGTGGGGCGTATTGTTGAGGGCCTCTCGCCGGCTCTTTTGGGGCATGATGGAGTGTCGTGGGTGCTCTTGCACCTCCCTTGGAGTCGTTTTGGGAGCGTTTTTGGCCCTCCTGTGGCCTTGCTGGGCGATCTGAGGAGCCTCGGAGGCCTTCTTGGGACCATCTTGGAGACTATCGATCAAGGAAGACGGAGTCCTTAATTCGTGTTGCCCCTCTAGAGCCCCCAGCGTCGCCTCATGAGACGCTCTTGAGCGCTCTTGGGGCTGGATTGGAGCCTCGCTTGGAGCCTTCTTGGGGCATAGTTGAGCCATCTTAAGGCTTCAGAAGCCCATCGGAAGTGAAGAGGTCGGACGGCAACAATGATTGATGTTCGCTGGTTCTCGAAAGAGATTGGCCTCCTTCGGGCCTCCTTGGCAGGCTCCGTGGCCACCTGGATCCGTCTTAGCGGCGTTGGGCCTCTTTGCAGCTGACCGAGCGCTATCGACAAAATGACATCCCTCCCGTAACCCCTGCGTGTGGATTATCTTGGGCCATGGCAGAGTCTGTTGGGGGAGGGGCGGCGAGGCCGAACTCCATCATCGTCGGGAAGAGTACGACTCGAAATTGCGATCTTCGTGCATACATCTATAGATATGTTGAGCAGCAAGAGCAGCACGAACGGGCAGCAGGGCTGGGGGATGTCCACCAATTCAGCTTTCCCATGTCACGGATGTGTGGCAAGGCCATTGTATTCTCACCAGTTCAGTTCCCCGAGGCACGAATGTGTGGCAGGGCCATTGGATTCTCACGATCTCAGATGTCCCAGGTCATGAGCCTGTAGCAAGGCTACTGGATTCTCCCCATTTCAGCTTTCCCAACTCACGATTGCGTGGTAGGGCCATTGGGTTCTCACTACTTCAGCGTTCCTAAGGTTTCCAAAGTCACGAACTTGTGGCAAGGGCATTGGATTCTCACCACTTCTGCTTTCCCAAGTCACGAACGCGTGGCATGGCCATGGGATTCACAAAGTCAGCTGTCCCAATGCATGAACGTGCGGCAGGGCAGTTGGATGTTCATTACTTCAGCTTTCCAAAGTGACAAACGTGTGGCAGAGTCATTGGATTTTCACGGTTTCAGCTTTATGCAAGACACGAGATGTTGGCCGGGCTCTGGGATTCTCACCATTCAATTTTTCCAAGTCACGAACGTGTTGCAGCGCTTTGGGATTTTGACAAGTTCCGCTGTCACAGGTCACGAATGTGTGCTGGGCTATGGGAGATTCACGAGTGCAGTTTTCCCAAACCACGAACGCGTGGCATGGCGACGAACGTCTGGCAGGGCAAATTGATTCTCACCGTTTCAGCTCCACGCTGCACGAACGTGCCCACCCCTCTCCCTGTCCCCCCCTCTCCCCGCAGCCCCCCCCCCCCGCAGCTGGTCAAGGTCCGACCTTCTGCCGTGCCGCTACAGCTGCTGGGGTCGTCCCCTGGAGGGGGCGGCACCGTACAGGGAACAGCGCTGGAATTTCCAGAACCGCCATTGCTCGTGGGCAGCAACTTGTGGTAAGACGGCCGCCCGTGGATGGAGCAGCATCTCCACTCAGTCTGCCAGGCCCGCCTTCGCTGGGGCCGTCTCTTGGACGGGGACCTCATGTCAGGGGGTCCGTCCAGTTCTTTGGTAGCAAATCATGTAGCCTGGTGAACCCTCTCGATTCCGTCTCTAGCGTCGATAAGCGTCTGGGATTCGATGGGATAGCCCGATTTTGCGTCGATAAGCGTCGACTAGCGTCGATTAACGTCGATTTAGCGTCGACTAGCGTCGATTCGTAAGAGCCGACAAGATTGTATGGGAGCCTCCCATGAGTTGCCACCGAACAGTGTGTCAGAAACGTCATCTGTGGGGGCGCCATCCTGGGTGGGAGTAGCGGCTAGGGGTGGGCGGGACTGAGGAGAGAGAGGGGGGCGAGGTCGTGGAGGTGCCGTAAAGGTCTCCTGCACCTTCGCGGCCCTCGGCGTCCTGCCAGGGCAAGGCGCCGCGTGGCTGACGCCCCGCGGCACCCACTGGCGCTACACTCCAGGCTCCCAGGGGCGCTGCTGGAAGGCCTGGGGAATGTGGCGCGACGTCAGGCCATGTAGGGGGTGAGGGCCATCCGGTTGGCGCGCGACTGCAGGTTCGGCGGCGGTCACGGCCAGTGCTACCAGGAGTGCGATTGATCGTCGCCAGCGCTTGTGAGGTAGGTGCCCTGGGCCCCGCCATTCCCGTGGGGCGGCCATGGAGGCCACCACCCACCAAACCACCCCAACCCAACCCGAAGGCCTCAATTTGCCCTCCATTTCCAGTGGGGGGGGGTTCGGGGAACATTGACAAAAACACGTATGGAGCCCGTACCCCCCCCAACCCGAAATTCAGGTCAAATTCGGGTCTTCGGGTTGGGTTGGAGTGGTTTGGTAGGTAGTCAGGAGGGCCACGCTGGGGTCGCCGCCGTCTTGGGCGAGGTCTCGCGCTGGGCCTGAAGTCCCGACGCGGTGGCCTCGCACGCCGTGGAGGCCACAGCGGGCCACCGCTGGGGCGTCTCCCAAGGCTCCAGGGGGGCCTGCCGAGGCATCTGAGAGTTCCTCGGTCGTAGTGGCCCAGGCGGATGCGAGGTAGCCCCCAGGCTGCGCACACCCGTAGCATTATGATGTTCCAACCTATGGTTTGACCACCAGAAAGAATTTTGAGCGCCAGAACAGTACCCACAAAACTCAAGGGTTTCACGTGTCGGGCCCTGGGAGACACTCGTCCGACACTATTTCAACACTATTTCGACACTCTTTCGACACTTTTCCGGGTGCTCGAAATTATTTCTGGGCGGTGGTCTTGAAGCACGATGGGAGCAGCATAACCGTAGCATATACTGCATCCTTTGGGGGAAGATCGAAATTCCCCATCCAGGAACTTGCCCTCCTCCTCCTCCTCCTCCTCCTCCTCCTCCTCCTCCCTGGCTCAAGCCCTGAGCACACCGCGGGAGGTGCAGGACTCAGCATTGCCATCCAGGGAAGGCCCTGGGTGTTCGGGCCCAAGCATTTTGCTTTGCCCAGTGCCAGCCTGGTCCGCCCCAGGCAGCGGCACAGCCACGTCCCGCACTCGTGCCACCAGTTGGGCCCATTTCCTGCGTGTGCTGCCGCACAAGGGAGTCAGGAGATGGCGACGGCCCAGAGGAAGTATGTCGTTTGCTCGAAGCGCGGTTGCAAAGGGTGGGCCTGGTGCTCTACTAATGCTCACCACTGCATTCAGTGTGGCAACCGTTTCAAGCAGCGGTCGGAGTCAGTTTCGCATGCAGACCACCCAGCAGGGGGAGGAGGTGGAGCTCTGGACATTCGGCCAGACAGGCCGCTGGAGACACATCTCCCGCGGGCCGGAGCCCCCCCCTTGGCCTGGGCCGCGGAGGTGGTCGCAAGGTCACCTACGCGGAGGACGAAACCCCCAGTGAAGATCCAGTGGCCCTGGCCCAAGCGCAGGTCACTTTCTGGAAGAAGTGGAAACCAGACGGAGAGGAGCACATGTCTGCGATCGGCAAGCTCAAGCATGCCAAAGCGCAGGCCCTGTCCACCCAGAGCCTGGAGCAGCAGGCGCAGTCACTGTCAGATCAGTTGCAGGTTGCACGCCAGAAGCTCATGGTTCAGAAGAAGGACGCGACGGAGCTTGTCCACACCATCGTCGAGGCGAGTGAACACCACGGCAAGCTGGTCGCGGAGATCGAAACCAACACCCAAGAAGTGCAGTCATTGGAGTCCCAGCACAACATGGCCGCCCAGGCGGCAGCGTACGAGGCATCCAAAGATGAAGTTTTACTCACCACTCTCCAAGGCATGCTGGCAGCGCGCATGCCTGAGGGTGGGGAGGCCCCGCCAGAACTACGTGCTACAGTTTCGGAGCTGGCGCAGCTGTTCGACAACATGCAGCACCAGCACACCATGTTTGTGGAGTCACAGGCGAAATGTGCTAGCAAGGGCAAGGTGTCCCAGCCAGCGCAGGAGCCTGCTGACTTCCCCGCAGTTGGTGAACGTGCTGATGAGCCTGATGAAGCCATGCCCATCCCAGGTCAACATGTCCCGACGCCAGTGGGCGACAAGGAGCTGGAGGAGACCTCGCCCGCAGGCGTCGGCGAAGCGGCCCCGATGGACGAGTCGCTGGGCCGCGTTCGTGCTGCTGCGGCTCTGGAGATGGTCGCCAACGGCATGGTCAAGATCCAGGGCGACGGTGGCCCTGAGGCCAAGAAGGCTAAGGCGGCTGCAGCGGCCGCCGCGGCCGCAAGTGACAGCCCATCGCCAGGGTAACCAGAGTTATAAGCTAGCCACCACCAGCGGATCTTGCCGGCATGCCGTGCACAAGTTTTTGCAACACCCGCAGGCCAGAGAAGCCACCATCGTTTGCGCCTGTGCCCAGGAGTGTAAGTTAGCCGAAGGCGAGAGCATTGCACAGCAGATACAATGGTGCGCGCCTCAAGGGCGGCTGGCTTACGCAACTCCTGCTACGATGAACCCCGTCAATGAGCTGGTTTCAGGGGCCGAGCTTTTGTTTCGGGAGGGTTTGGACTTGGGGTATCAACCTCTGATGCGCCCCTCGGATTGCGCGCCCGCTCGTTTGTCTGGAGAGACCCTTGTGACCCCAGGGTCCCTAAACTTCGCTTTGTGTTCTGCGTATTGTCATGCCGCGGCGGGTCTCTCTGAGACCAAGGCATATTTAAACCGCGTGGCCACCAGTGGCCAATTTCAGGATGACTTAGAGTATTCAGTTAAGTTTGATAGCCCCTCGCTGCGTAGGCCCCAGCAGCTGTCCACTCACAGCCCAGTGGGCCCGCAATTGCCAGAAGTGAGACGGTGCCAGACTGCCGCGAACGTGCATTATGCTTCGCAATTGATCGATGATGCCCAACGGCCGCTCACCGATCAGCAGTCGACGTCGATCCTGGACCGCGCGTACTACACCCTGGCCCAGGACTTGGAAGCTACAATGAGTAGAAGGACCAACGCGCCTCTTAAACCCATTAAGTTCCCCAGGGATCAGCCCCCTCAGGTTATCAAGGTCCCCGCGGAAGCCAAAGTGGCTCGTATCAGAGCCAACGGGGTGGCGTTTACGGGCCCGTTGACATGGCTGTGTAGTCGAGTTCAGGAATTTACGAGCTGCACTCGGGATTGGAATGTGTTTGAGTTCCAGGGCGCCCTGGGCAGCCCGGGGGATTGCCCCGAGTTATGCCCCGCCGTGGTGCCCTTCAAGGAGGGGCTTCAGGATGTCCGAGTAGCCGCAGGTTTGCTTCTTATCGAATTCCAGGCCGGCGTTCTGAATCAGACGCTGGCGCAGCAAGTGTTAGACGAGTTGCTTGAGCAGGTCACCAAGCACCTGTGCCAGGAGCAGGCTGGCCACTCTAGCGTTGAATCGGTCTACAAACAATCCTTGGGAAGGGGGGTGCAACAGCTCTACCAAAGATCAACAATACAGCGCCCAGGTCCCTTACGAGCTATCTAACTATTATTTTTATGTTGATCGGCCTTGTCTTATGCATCATGCTGTTGAGCATGGTTTTCCAAGTTGTTTATTACGTATCAATCTCTCCCAGTATGCCAGCGAATGCACTGCTTCATTGCAAGATTGTGCGGTCAGCGGCGGTAAACCTTGGAGGGGTATTACTTCCGGCAGCATGGGGGCCACGAACCTTGTGCAGATGCATGCGCTCGCCCCCTTGGACATATGGACACAGGCCCATGGTCACAGTAGGCTCGCGGCGTCCATTGATAATATGTTGCTCCAGTGCCACGGCCGCAGTTTCAGCTTCATCGTTAGCCAGATGAACACAGCCGCCAGAGCGATGGCGGATTGCATCAGCCACGAGCTTAAGTGCCAGATGGTCAGCAAGAAGACCCAGGTGCCAGCGTCTCACCAAGCCCTGCAGGACCAGCTCAGGACCAAGATGGGGCCTCTGGCAGGCCCGAACCCTGATCGTTCGGGATCCAACCTGGGCGAGGAAACTGGGGCTGGCCGCCCCCAGAGAAGATGGGCGACATTTTATAAACTTTCCGAGCGTCTTGGGAAGATGCGTAAAAGACCTAACAAGGTCCGTACGTTGAAACGCGCTGGGGATAACACTCACAAGCTGTATAAGAATGCCCTTGAAGCGGCCACTGCCCTTGGAGTTGACGTCACTGGCACCAACGGCACTCAACCTGTTGCAGCTAGGTCGCAGTTTCTGGCTGCCGCGGGCCCGAGACGCTCGACCCGCAGCAGCAGCTTGGCGTCGCCCCCCCTCCAGGACCCCCTGTGGAAAGCTGCCCTCGGTCCCGCCCTTATGTGGCATCGTTTAGTTTGGGATGCGTCCACCCGCCCGCTCTTAGCCGTGGCCAGTTGCCCGCACATGTGGGTGTGGACTAAAGACGCCCCCCCCCGAGAGTTCCTAAATCGCGGGGTTCCTCCTGGGGCCGTCTCTGTGTGGCGTCGTTTTCGCTTAAACGTTTTGGTTGGGAGATCCAGGGGCCGTTTTCCTTTGTGACTACCTCGGGTCTTGAGTATTCACTCCCAGGACACATCCCCACCTTCCTCCAAATGCTCATCGAGCATGACTGGCACGGCCAGCTCGCCTCCACGGCGGCCGACAAGCTCGGCCACGCAGGCGCCCAGTTAGTTATCGCTGCTGCTCGGATTGCTCCCTCGTCAGTCCTCACTGGACACCGGAATGGCACCCTGTTCACCTACCTCAACCAAAGTATCTGGACCATGGAGAGAGCCAAAATAGCAGGATATGGTGTTCCAGTCGGGCTCTGCCACGGAGTACTGCACTACCAGAAAACTGAAGAAATCAGAGCCACTCACTTCTCGGCTGCGGAGCTTCTGCGTTTAATTGGGCCCCCATCCCCGGGCCCTTCATTTGCCTCTTGGGTTCTCGCTGGTTCCTGAGTTCCGTGGAGTGCTTCCCCCTGCTTCTCGTTTGAATTTTGGGGAGTTTTGGCGTGCTCAAGTAGGTATCAACATACAAAAGGCCTTCAGCGAGGGGGAAGTGCATATATATGGCAGTTGCACCAATCACACGAACTATGTGCTCAATGCTGCAGGTATTGCTGTTGTTTGTTCGAGAGACGGTGAAGTTTTTACATATGTCAGAGGCCGACTCGGCCAGCCATTTTATTCTGACTGCAAGGGAGTGCTGAGGCTGCATCAGGGCACCGAGTGCCCCCATGCCCGCCGCTTGGCGGAAGGTAAATGTGCGGAGGACCGTCTTACGAAGGCAGCAACGCACAAGGGCGTTCAGCCCAGACAAGATGAGATGTGCAATTTCGATGAATATAAGAAGTTCGTTTCAAAGTATCTCAAGTATGTGGCGCAGGCTCTGGGAGAGTGGTTCGCGACCGCCCCCAGCAATAACAAAGGTCTGGCCGCCCCAGAGAAGAACCTTTCTCCCCCCACGGGTGTTGCCTCTGCCCTGGCGTCGTGGTCGCCGTCGTCGGTCGGGCCTTCTCCTCCCCCACCGTCGCCTGAGCCTCACGAAGTCTCTCGTGAACCCAGAGAGCCTTGGGGGTTTCACTCGTGGGCGCAAATTTCGCAGCATTATCGCTGCACTCTGTTTAGGGTACAGACGAAGTCATTCAAACAGAGTGCAGTCTTTGCGGCCAAGGAATGTCCTGGCCACTATAAGCAGATGTCAAACCTCGTGCATGATAATAAAGGCCAAGTTGTGTTTTATTTGAGCACCTTGAACAGCCCACGAGTATTCGGGTGTGCCACAAGTGTGGATCCTATTCCGAGGGGTTGGGTCGAGGGCTCACAGGAGGCTGCGGCACTCGAGTGAGCCACCAAGGCGCGGCCACTCAGATTGCCTGTGGCCAGGAGGGTCATGATCCCAAGGGCTCAAAGTCGTCCCCGATCATATTTAAGACCCCACCATCTCCCAGGCCAGATTGGTGAGCGAAGCGCCAACCAAGGTCTGAGGAGTGGAGGCACCAACGCCTCCATAGTCGGCCGTGCTCTCTCACGGCGGACATCGAACACTTCATCAGCCATGTGCGTGTCCTCCTCCTCCTCCCCCTCCTCCTCCCCCTCCCCCTCCCCCTCCCTACCCCTACCCCCCACGACTTCTGAGGGGGAGGGTGTGGTTCACTTCGTCCGGGAGCTCTCGAGCGAAGTGAACCCCACCCTCCCCCCCAGAAATCGTGGGAGGGCAGGGGTAGGGTTCGCATGTGGCCCCCTAGGCCAGGAAATCGCGAGGCGCCGGGCGCGGGAGGCGCCCCCTGGGGCGGGCGCGAGCCGCCTCTGCGGTCGAAGCAAGCGTCCGGACAACCCCTCGAGGCCCTGGAGATCCCGGGCGACGGCTTGAGCCAGAGGGGTCACGGATTTCGTAGGTGGTCGCAGTTTTGTGCGTTTTTGTTCTGGTTGGGTGGTGTCTTGGGGGTCTGGACGAGACTCCGTGGCGTCCCTGGGGTCGTCGTGTGTCTCTCTTCCAGGCTTGCCCGCTGGGGTAATCGGGCCGAACGACATGATGGGGGGATAGGGGAAGGGGGGGTTACGGAATCTGCTGCATGCAGCTGGTTTCGGCCCCGCCTCCGGGCCCATTCCTCGATACATGGGCGCCTCCCGGCGTTGGGAGGCGCCGGGAAAATCAGCTACGTGAGCTGATTCTCCCCCCCCCCCTTTGCTATCCCCCCCTTTCGCCCAGCCCGAGGTAAGGTCTCGTCTTTTGCAGTATCTCATTGTGTGTGCCTCGCGCTGCATGTAGCCGGACAGGCGGGGTTCTCGAGGCCACGGCCCCACGCACGTGGTCTGAGCTAGGCTCGACCATGTCCGCAGGGGTGGTGGCATCGCATCGTATCGTCTCTGGCATGCTCGTGCTGGGCAACGTCGCCCAGGAAGGCCTCAGTTTACAGAGCGCGTTCCACTACTCGCAAAGTGCCTACTCGCAAACGTCCGAAAAACACATGTCCGCTTTGATGTAATTTATCGTATATCCTCTGCGGGGGATCCAGGCCATTTGTGAGTAGTTACTTTGCGAGTCGTGGAACGCGTTCGTTTATCAGTAGGGGGAGGGAAAGGGTGAGCCGCCGCGCGCAGCAGGACGTCGAGACGGCATCCTTCTCGGATGGAGTTCTCGCCGCGCCGCCGCCGCCAGAAAGCGAAGGCCAGCGCGGAGAGGGGGGCAGAGGCGAGTGAGGGGACTGCGGAGTCACAAGAAGACTTGTGCTGGAGGTAGGCTTGCAGCTCCCTACTACGAATATTTGGTTTTCTGAGCTATATCCAGATTCTAACTCCAGTTCGGTTGTTCCTGAAGTACCCCTCGCCCCTGAGGGGCGACGAACGACCGCTTCGACGCCGAAACGGGGGCCGTGGAGAACCGAAGTAAGCGCCAGGAGTGGCACCGCGACGAGTTCCGCGGTATCGAGCACATCGGGGTTGAGGCGGTCCCAGACGACCCCACGGCCCCCGTCACCCCAGCAGGAGAATGGAAGAAGGTGTACACAACCATCGCTCCATTACGACAGTTACCTGGAAGTTCACGGACACGACTACGAGCTGCTGGTGCATATGTTGTACCGCGGTGGCTTTGGTGTTGTCTAGTATTCACGCTGCCGCCTGCAGATGTGGCGGCGAAGCTTATGAGCTCTATTCTACAGACGAAATGTCCTTGGTGGTGCCGCGGGCGCTTTCGGTCCATGCATATTCAGTACCACCCAGTGTATTCTAATGCCCTCACGGCCGTGCGCCGTTTGACAGATTGGGAGCTGGACTACAACCCCTGGGTCGAGCACGACCTACAGACCTTCTTCGAGGCGATAAGTTGGGTTTTCGTGCAGTACGATGTGGAGAAAGGAGTCAGATTCCAGCTGGACCCAGAGGAGTCGGACCCGAGGACGAAGCGTATTTTTCAATGCCGCCAAGGCTTCTGGAGTTCCGAAGGTGAGCGAGTATTTCATGTCCTGCGAGCTGTTTGCCGTTTTCGTGCGCTGACCGCTGCGACCCCAGCTCGGCGTGATTTCCCTGGCATGAGTGATGTTGATGTTGAAGCCCTCGCGGGCAAGGCGTGGAAGAAGTTCAGAGACGCCCTCTCGCCGACGGAGCGGCAGAAGGTTATTATATACATGTGTGGAGCGGCCAGCTCGCACACGCGCGGAGGGAATCACGACTTCGACTGTGATCCGTACTGTCCGTGCTGCGGTGAAGCCTATTGGCCATCGGTCCGTCAGTGCGCGACGGGCGTTGCCGCCTTCGCAGATTTCAGAAGCCAGCTCTCCGACGACGGCGTGCCGGCGGCCTGGTGGACTTCCCAGCCGAAAGTTTCTTCGAGCTCGGGGTGGATCGCGTTGTCGGTGCATCGAGTTGCTGAGCGGAGATCATAGTTAATGGTGGTGCGAGGCCGTATGGGCTTGTTAGATGTATCTACTGGTTTGGGAATGAGAAGCAACAAGACATCCCATGCTGTAGGGAGACGGTCTGCGTGAGAATGTCACCTATTGCAAAGAATAGTTGTGACAAAATGCCTGTCGTAACGCTTGATGTTGATCTGACACTGTCAGGGCTGCCCATGTTTTTTTTGTTCACAACCGGATCTTCATTAATATTTTGATGTATTGGGAAGTTGCAGTCTTGAGTATATTGGTTATTTGATGTATATCCAGGTTCGAACTCAAGTTCGGTTTTCCTGAAGTGCACCTAGCCCCTGTAGGGTGACGAGGTTTCGCGAGGTAATCGGTGGGCCCGTGTAAGTTTAGATGTTTCTGTCTCGTGAGCTGGGGGCAGTATCGCGTGGAAGGTGGTGGCTTTGGGGGGGGTACACAGGGGTTCTCGTTCGCTTTTGCTAGATCTGATTTCGGTGAGCGCAGTGCTTCCATCGGGAAGGGGGCGCAGCACGGACTGGCAGATGGCATGACACATAGGAAATGCTCATCCAATCATGTGGAGCACACGCACACATGCACACAACGCTTGGGCATTAGCGTCTGTGCAAATATCCAATGGCCTTCGGCACACCCCGCCACTGTGCCTGGGTTGTGGGTGTGAAACCTATTGAATGTTTGTTGTGATATCGTGGGGGGCCTCTCGGGGGTGGGCGGAGGCAGTTCTGAAGCTCTCCGGGGCCGTTTGGGATACTCTTCTGGGTTTTTTTGGGGCCTCCTGGGGGCCTCCTCGGGCGGAAGGCTCCGATATTCGGTTCGCGTCCCCTCTCTTGGGCCCATACTTGGGCCCTCTTGGCGTCTCTAGAACCGTTTCTGGGCGCTGGCATGCCGTCTTGGGGCCCTCTTGGAGGCCTCTTGGGTCGTCTGGGGGATGGTTTTGGGTGCCTCTTGGGCCGTTTCGGAACGTCGGAGAATTGGGAATGCGAGAACTCCAGCATCTTTCAGACACCTAAGGCAAATCATGACGTTTGCCTCTTCGGGCCTTCTTGGGACCCCTCTCGGAGGCCTCTTGGGGCGTCTTGGCGGCCTCTTGGGCCGTCTTGGGGCCATTTTGGGCGTCTTGGTGCGGTCGTCAGGCCTTCCGGGCCCCACTTGGACAGCTTTTGCGGCCTCCAGGGGCTCTCTCGGCCCATCCTGCGGGCCTTTGGGGCCCAGAAATTTAATGCGATACGATGTGCTGGAGCCCAAGAGGCACGCCCGGAACCCCAGGAAATGTAGGAGTTCGGGGTCTGGGCCCCCGCCTGAAGACCTCGCACAAGCACTTCAGGGATTCCTCTCGCTTCGCGGAGTGCACGTCTGGAGCACGTACAGTCCAGTCTTTGTCGGGCCTCTGAGAACTTTTTGGGGGCCCCTTGGAGGCCTCTTTGGGGCCTCTTGGGTCCTCGCGGGGGCGTCTGGGAGGCCTCTTGGGGACCTGTGGGAGGCCTCTTGGGGGCCTCTCGGAGCCCCGTGTGGGCGTCTTGGGGGCGCTCTTGCGTTGCTTTGTCCCTTCGGAAATTGTTTTGGGGTACTCATGGGCCGTCTTGGGAGCCTCTTGGGGCATCTCGGCGGCCTTTTTTTGGGCTGCCTGGGAGCCCTCTTGGCCCGTTTTGGGGCCCTCTGGATGGCTTCTTGGGCCGTCTGGGGGCCACTTCGAAGGCTGTCTCGGCCGTCCTGGACTTCTGAAAGTCGAAATAGGCGGGAACGCGGAAATCTTCAAAAAAACCATGGGAAAATCACATATTTGGGTTTCTGGAGGCGCTCTTGGGGGTCCTTTTGGGGCCGTCTGGGGCCTTCTTGGGGCCTTCTTGGCCCCCTTGGGGCCATCTTGGGCCGTCTTGGGGCCGTCTTGGCCCGCACAGAGGCCATTTTGAGCCGCCCTGACGCCCTCGTGGCCCCCCAAGAGGCCCAAGAAACCGAAATCATAGATGTCACATAGGTGTTGGTAGGTTCTGGGGCCCCCAAAGGGGGTCGCCAGGTTGAGTCGATGGATGTGGCGTAGCCCATTGGGGGGGGGGAGAAAATAATGTAGCACAAGACAAAATGTATCAATTATACAATTATCGGATAGAGCGGATACGTCGCACTATCGCCTCCACAGAAAACCTTGCCGTTCAGCACGTCACTTCCGGACGTGGACTCTATAGGCGTACGCCACATCCGCCGTCCCTTCACTGACTGTAAGGTTTTGATGGTGCTTGTCGGTGTTTGGAGGTTTCTTGGGGCGGAAGGCTCGAACTTTCGGAAGCAGGGAATCGCAAACGGAAAACGGAGGCGAAAACGGAACCGCTGACGTGCGGCGCGCCCGGTTTCGGGGTGTCTTTCTGGGAGGCCGGCCAGGAGAAAGGAGCAAGAGTGGTGCGCGCAAGTTGACATAAGCGGGGCATCACTGCGAAGGGTGTGGCCCATGAGTCGAAGCGGTTGAAGTTTTTGCTGATGTGCGCAGCGTGCAAGAAACGGTTCGTTCGGCAGGAGCACGTAGGCGCCAAATAGGAAATCGAGCACTCCACGAGAAAAAATATGATTGCACGCGCAGGTTGCAGCGCCGACGGGCTCACGTCGCGCAGTTGGCAGGCCTTCCAGTGCAGTGGCAAGTGTCTGAGGAAGTTGCCGAAGCCGCCTCTCTCCGCGGACGCGAACCATGTCGCGCGTGACGAGAAGACGGGCACATTGAAATGCAAGGTGCGCATATGTTACCAGCGTGGCGCCCGTGCCATGGCTTGTAAAACTAGGAGCAGCGGGGGTGCGAGCGAGAGGGGGGACGAACCCTATGAAAAGAGAGCCGCAAAGAAGGCGGAAGCGGAGGAGGAGGAGGAGCAGGGGGAAGGTGGGGGAGAGGCGAAAGGGGAGTCAAAGGTCAGGAGGAGGAGGAAGAGGAGGAGGAGGAGGAGTCACGATCTGGTCTTGAGGCGTCACGGGGGCGTCTTGTTGGTAGTGTTTGGGCCTCTTGGAGGTTGTCTGGGAGCCTGTTGGGAGCCTTTCGGGCCTCGATTGGGGTTCCCGGGGGCCTTCTTTGGGAGGTTCTTGCAGCAGGATGGAGAGAATCCCGGAAACCGCAAGAGGCCAAGATGGTAAGCATGAGCGCTTACGAAGGGAACGAGACGATTGTTACTTTTTGGGGTTTGCTTGGGACGCCTCTTGGGGGCCTCTTGGGTCGTCTTGGGGGCTTCGGAGGCTGTGTGGAAGTCATCGTGGGCGTCTTGGAAGGATATGTCGGCGACTCGTCACCCTCTTGGACGGTCATGGAGGCGTTTTGGTGCCGTCGTGGCTCGTTTTAGGGCCCTCTGTTCCCCCATGGCGCGTTCGGCCGTATTGGAAGGAAGAATCGCACACGCCTAGAGACCCACAAGGGGTCGGCGGATTAGGCAAGAAGGACCTGGGGACACGCCCAGTCCACGCCCAACGGCACGGTGGCGGATACACACATCTCTGTTTGTATGGGATGCTCATTCACGTTCTGAGCCGTCAGAAGTACCAGAGTGCGCAATGGTGGATGAGAATGAAGGGGGCGTCCAGGCTGCGTTACAGGGACTGCGCGCCCAGGCGCAAATGTGAAGAAGTCCGCCGCAGGCGCCGACCTTTCTGCAAAGCAGCGTGGGTGGACGGCGGGTCGTGTCGTCGGCAGACGAGGTTCGACAGCCAATGTAAAGCTCACCGCGGGCATCGATATTTCTCCCACGGCAATTTGTTGGTTAGGCACTCCTTTCGGGTGTGCTGGAATGGGCGGGGGGGCGGCACGCGTAACGCCGCACGTAGCGCTCTCTTTCGGGCCACGAGACGTGTGAGGTGTTGGCCGAAATGGGTGCGGAGCGGCATACGCGCCCACCTAATCACTGGGCTGGGCCGTAGGTGGATCGTCGTGCGGGGGCACGGGCCGTGCGAATGATGTGCCCACGTCGACGTGCAGCGAGGGCTGGGGCAGGGAGGAGGGGAGGAACGGAAAAAGAGGGAGGAGGAGTAAGGACGGGACACACGGCGCTGCGTGTTCAGAGCGATGGCCCAACAACACAGGAGGGTTTGGAGCAGTGGGTGGGTCGCGCGTGTGGGCCACGGGTAGGACGCGGACAATTCGCAAGGGGGTCGTTCGGCGGGCGCCTGCTCGCAAACGCCCGAAGACAAAACACCCGATTGGCCTGACGCAATGCAGCGGAAATCCCCCGCGGCGGATTCAGGCCATCAGCGAGTAGCTACTCTGCGTGTTGTGGATCGCGCCTGTCTATACCATTCCCTTTGCTCCCCTCGGCGTCTCTTACAACAGCTCGAACCGCGGATACCCCGTTAGACACGTACCTGGGGACGCTGTAAGACCGGTGAGACAGTTCGGCCCCCTCACCCGGATATAAACATTTTTGTTGGGTTTGCGGGGCGAGAGCGAACTTCTTCCGGTAAAAGCTAGGCGGGCTACGCACAGCACGAATTGCCGGATATGAACACACGCTCGTTTGCATTGAATGTTGGCGCGTTGCTGCGTGCCTTTCGTCATCTTGGTTGTCAAGGTGGTTATTGGGAAGGGGGGGGAGGAAGAGGAGGAATAGGAGTACGCAAAAGGAGTGAACGAAGGAGGAGGAGGAGGAGGAGGAGGAGGCGGAGGGCCAGAGGAGGAAAGGAAAGAGGAGAAGGGTATATCAAGCGTCGCAGCACGGATCTTCAGTCTGCCGCAGGCGGTGCGGACCCGCCCCTGGAGAGCTCCGTACAGGCCGCCGGCGAGGAGGGCCAGGGCGGGGCGCCAGAGTCAGGACAGCCTCCGTGGGATTGGCTCAAAGAGTGAGCGAGTGTGTGCACAGTTTGCACACACACACACACTTTTTTGATTCGCGGGTCGAGAGCGCACCTTTTCCGGCAGAGCTTGAATTACGCAGAGAAGGGGGAGGAGAAGGGGGGCGCAGCCTCAGAACGAGGCCGGAAGGAGGCAAAGCCTCGGAACCAGGCGGTGTCGAAGTCGACGAACTTGCAAAGGAACGCCTTCTTGAAAGTGTGTGCATACACACATATGTGTATTGATATCGATTATCCTTGCGCACGAGGCGGGGGGGGCCTGGGAGGGAGCCCTCGACGTGCCATGAGGACCTGGGCGCCGGGGACGATTCCAGACCGCCCAAGAAAGCCCCAACACAGATGAAAAGGGCCGCGAGAGGCCTCAGAGGCCTACTGTCGCGGAACTATCGTTCTACCACGCCCAAGATGGCCTCCGGACGGCCCATAAGCGCTTTCCAGTACGGCCGAAGTGGTCCCTAAGAGCATTCCCAAAAGGGCCCCCATAAGCCCAAATCATTGATTCCCAACCATTTTGTGGTGTTTGGGCATCGTTTTGAAGAGACAGCGCTCCGCGTCTCCTTCCTCTCCTCTCCTCTCCTCTCCTCTCCTCTCCTCTCCTCTCCTCTCCTCTCCTCTCCTCTCCTCTCCTCTCCTCTCCTCCTCCTCCCCCTCCTCCCTCCTCCCAGTCGGCGCGAGGGGCTTAAGAATTTATTTCCGACCGAGCCCACACGCACAGAGCGCCCGCCGACTTTCGAGGGCCCCCAACAGCACCGAGGCCAGAGGGTGTTGAGGGGGGGCCGCCGCCCGCGCCATGGTAGAGATCTCTCGCCCCCAGTAACGACGGCAGTGGCGACGACTATGCGCATTGTGACGTACAACCCATACTCAGCGAGCGGCAGCGAGCGACTAGAGGATATAAGTGTTGCTCTCAGAGACTGGGACATTATCATTCTCAGCGGGACGTACGAGTGGGCGGGACCAGAGAGCGTGAAGAAAACCGAACTTCCACAACATTGGACACTCAGGTTTGGAGCTAAAAAAGGAAAATGGGTTGCCAAAGCTTGTGGAGTGTCGATTCTCGTTTCGAAAAAGGCTCCCGCCCGAGAGTTTGCGCAGCACAAGCAGTCCGCCAGCACAGATACAGGGACGAGCAGCGGGCATACGACTGCAGACATCCGAGGTAGACGTTGCAGTTTTTGCTCTCTATCTGGCACCGACGCACTACACATAATATGCTACTATTGCCAACCGAATCATGACTTGGACTGAGAATGAGATAGACAAAGTGGGTGCGTGACCTTGGACTGCACAGAGCACCAAACGGTGTAGTACAATCAAGTGAAGGCCGACACGTTGGACCCTGCGACCCGAGACTGGAAAATGAAAATGGTAAGGAAGTGCGTAGGTTCTGTGAACGGAATAGCATGAGCATAGCGACCACCTTCACTAGTATTGGGCCCACTTATTACGGGTTCCAGGACAGGAGACTAGGATCGACCACATACTATTGCCGACAGGTGCCCGCACCATATCCAGTAAATGTGCCACATTACGAGCCATAGGCAAACGACTGCAGTTACACGAGAGCAGATGGCACAGAGATCACCTACCCGTCTCAATCGACCTCCCCCTCCGACTAGGCGCCAACCTCTTCCCAGGCAGGAGACGCGACGACAAAGGCGTGTACGCCGACTTGCTCATGGAGTGTCTGCGGAGGGGGAGGGGCAGGTTAAAGTTCTTCGAGCATCTGGGCGATGAGATGAGAGGATTGGGGGGGGACGGGTGGGAGCAGGCAAAGCAGAGTAGTACACCCGACGCAGCTTGGCAACTCTTCGGCAATGCAACCAGGCAAGCCCTTCGCAAGTCTTTCGGCAAAGCAGACCAGCAGTTAGATGATGACGGAAAAATGGTCAGATGTAAGCGCATGGAGCTTCTTGAACAAAGACGTGAAATACGAGCAAACATGCGACCCGACACTACTCAAGAGCAGTACGACGGGCTTCTGGAAGACCTGGCTACTGCGACGGCACTGCTGAAACGAATGCGAGAGGACAGTCTTGTGAAGCGACGTGCGCAGATTGTACAACAGATCTGGGAGGCATATGAGGCCTCCAACTTTGCCGAGATGCACAGATTGCGGATAGCATACAACATGAATGGGAGGGGCACCAAAAAACGTTTCTATTATTCTCCAAAAACATATTGGACAGCAGAGCAGTGGATACACGAGCTTGGCAAGCACCCGCACGAGGGAGGTTTGGGAGGGACGCAGATGGATGTGCAGGAGGAGCGAGCCCAGCACGAGCAGCATCAGGCAGAGGGAGAACTCCCAGCCCCCCTCGACCACGCCATCCTCCATGCTGTCGAGAAAGACAAGCGTGCTATGCGACGGTATTGCCGCAGGGCGAAGAAGAGACGCGCTTGGCCAGCCTGGGGTCTTCCGATCGAATGCACGTGGATGTTGCTAGATCCCCAGGCCCATTTAGAGGGCCCAGATGAAGCAAGTAAAAGGCTGGAGAAGCGAGCGATAGCAAAAGCAGAGAAGGAGAAGGACGAGGAGGAGCTAGCCAAGCACACTACGCTGTTCAAATATAAGAAGGGACGACAGTTGATGCAGAAAATGGGTTGGTTGGAGGGTATGCAGCTGGGGGCATCGGGGCAGCAACTGACGGGGCAAGAGCTTGACCATCTCACGACAGCACCATACTTTGTGGGACGTGCAGAGAGAGCAGGTTTAGGCAGCGCCACGATCATGAGAGACAGCAGTGTGAAGTACGTATTTCAGCAACGACTGGACGACCTATTGTGCCTGTGCCGTACGACACGAGCGACACCGCTCGACTGGCATCGCAGCATGGCATTCGACGCAGACAAACACAACAGCAAACCAGGGATTGCAGGGAAGCGTATAATGCATGCGTACTGCAGCTTTGGGATGAGTTGGCACTCAGGTATTCCAGGACGGGGGGAGAGAGCGCAACATCCTGCGTGGGCTCAGGGGGGATTGCCCACCGGTGCAGAGAGAACTCCATTCTGTGTGTGCAAGCATCCCAATGGAGGGCCACCCGAGCAGGATACAGCACAATTCACTCGAACTACGACTGTACAAATGCCTTTGCGAGCACCAACAGGCGTCTTCTCCAAGCGGTGGCTTGGAAGCACACATGTGACGAGGACAAACCATTCGCAATGGCAGCAATCAATCACGCCTGTCTCACCATGAACACAGCAGACGGGCAAGTACACGTAGCTACCAGTGACGGCGCACAAATGGGCTTCACACTGGCCCCAGGTCAGTTCAACGAATGCTACAACATTTACGTCGACCAGTGGCGCCAGCAAGAACGAGAAGACATTACCCAAACACTGCACGACACAATCAACCCAGTCAACAACCAAGTACACGACCTCTCCCTCAATACCTTCATGGACGACATCACGAAAACACATACTTTCCTCCCCAACACAGCAGCAGCAGACATTATTAATCATTTAAACGGTGTGACGACACGGCTTGAGGCAAAACTTATCAAGGGCAACTGGTGCCTCAATCCACAAAAAACCAACCACCTCCTCCACATCAGAGGGGAAGGCTGCTTTGGAATGACACGACTTCTGCGCAAAAGCAAGACGATTAAAGGCAACGCGATGCGCGAGATGCGAGTGCTCGGACCTTACCTTCCCAGTGAGCAAGGCTTCAGCGGGCAAGTACATCGACGGTGCGAGGCAGCACGGTTGGCTTGGCGTCAGGGGGGAGCTTGCTGGAGCAGCAAAACCCCGAAGCCCATCAAGCGAATTGATGTTCACAGCATTTGTGATGGGAGCAGCACTCAGCGGACTGACCGCACTTGTGCTCCCAGCCAAGCTTACCAATGCGATCGACGCAGTACTTGCGAAGTTCTTGCGCTCACTCAGTGGAGGGGGCATGAGTTGGCAGAGGGAGGACGGGAGCATTAGATGTCACAACACGGACAGGGTATTCAGGGAATGGAGGTTAGAGAGGACGGCAGTAGCATTACGTGTGCGGCGGATTCGCTGGTACATGCGCTGGGCACAGTATCCAGCGGACCACGGAGCAGTGCTTGCGGCAGTATTCGGGGACTCAGTAATGGACATCTCCGAAGGGGTAAATAGAATGGCTAATGACAACATTACAGCTTCAGCCACCCCCTGGGCTAGGCAATGTTTGGAGGACCTGGGTGCCCTTGCTGCTATTAGTGAAGACTTTGGGGACTGGTTCCAGGGCAGACAATCCGACCTCAGCCTCTTCCGACCAGGAAGTGCGGAATGGAAACGATTTACGACCACGGATCCAACTATATTGCGAAGTGCAGCGTATTATTGGAGCCAGGTGGATGGGGGCGACGGGGAAGAGGAGGTGGGAGAGGTGGATAAGGATTACTGGTGTGATCATACAATAGTTACCCCCGACGGGACAGAGGTTATGCGCGGGCGTAGGTTCATCGCGGCCCAGGCCCTTGCGGGGCACAGACGTACTGTACACAATGTACGGTCGCTAGTGGCACAGTTAGTGGTAACAAACCAATGTCCCTGGTGCTTGAGTACTTTCAACAATCGACGGACAGCAATAGATCACTGTACTCGAGCAGCGGACATTTTTGGGATCTGCCATGTGAATCGAAGCAAGTGGGACCATCCAGTCCAGGAACCAGGGGACCTCGTCTGTAAAATCTGTGGCCTTGAGGCTCAAAGCCTTTCGGATGTCCAGCTTCACGTGAGGAAGCATCACGTCGGCCCCAGGGAAGTGCGCTTGTCGACAGACAAGCAGGCTCAGCAGCATGTGGCACGTCGGCCAGAAGGGGGTAAAGCGTCCAGAATCGACAAAGGAGCAGGACAAGGGCAAGAAGCACAAGGGCGACAACAACGGCGGGGGGGGAGGCGGACCGCCAGGAGGTGGAGGAGCAACAGGGTTCGCCGACTACCTGGCCAGTCTGCACAAGCTCGCGCTGAGGACGTCGCA